AAGCATGTAAAATTAGAGTAGATAAATAGGTACCAGCATGGTTGGAAGGTAACGGCGTTCTGTGTCTAGTCGCACTGGCCACATGACCATTGAAGCTGTCTATGGACAAACACCAGCTCTACGGCTTGGAAACAGGGTTGAGCACCGCCCTCTATCAGACACAACTGGACAATTTATCAAAGGGAACCGGTACCTTTACGTAGCAACATAACTGGAAGTAGAAGATGGAGAAACTATATTCTCTACCAACGCAAGAATGTGGTGCAGACCAAAAATAGTTAATATCAAATATCAGAGTAAAACTAAAGAAGACTCAAATCATTATACTGTAATGCTTAAAAATAAATTATATTTTGATTAATTTAAAGTCCATATAAAAAGCAGATTTGTATTGCTGAACTCAGTTGTGCAGGAACCAGAAGAACTGTGGATTAGAGATATGATGAATGACAAATGCAAAATAAAATTAAAAAACAGGTATTTCTGATTGCTAAATATTTGTAGCTGAGACAAAGAAAAGTATTCTTTTGCCTTGAGCACCCCTGGTAACTCAGCAAGACAATGGACATGGTAACAGATACAGGTAGATAATATCTAGTTATGTCTTATAAAGCAAAAAGCAGGATATATTACATATTCTCATTTAGGCCATACTCATAGTCATTATGGAAAAATAACAATGAGTTGTGAAGATGTTATTGGGTGGGTGTTCCTCATATTTATTTTATACCTTGCTGTATAGCATCAGAAGATTATTCAATAACAGCACTGAGTATGTTGTTGCTGGCTTTCTTATATCCTCCAAATTATTATTTATATATTTATGGATGTAGGCACCACAGGTCAGTGAGATAAATGCAAGAGAGAGGGCTGGAGGTTAAGAAAAGGGAACTGGAAATGCAGGTAGGTGAGAACACTGTCTTTTTTTCATTCATTCCCAATCACTGTGCTTTTATGTCTATGCACTGTGGCCAAAATATTGTTGCTTGACATAGTAAATAGCACTAGTGTAGGCCTTTTGATCAATGCGGATTTAGTGAGTCAACCCATCCATTAGTTCTATTGGTTCAAGTGGACCTATTCTAACTGCAGCTTGCTATGCTAAAGTAAGTTGCAGTTAGAGTAAACCCATTTGAATACATGGAATTTATGGAAGAGTTGACTAAATCTTTATTTACTGAGTCAATAGGCCTACTCTAATGTGGTTTACTACTCTAAACAACAGGATTTTGGCCTATGTGTTGCAGCTGCTATCTTTGTGTCTCTCTTTGTTTACCACAGTGAAGACACATACAGAAGCAAGGATATTTCCCACCTTCATTGTAAAACCGATGAAAAGTGAAACATAAGACCTGAAGCAGTGGCTAAGCTGATTTTAACTCTTCCTCTGATGGGCTGCCAACTTTCTTTTAGCCTTGAAAGTTGCTTGAGACTGTTGCATAAGAAATTAAGCAACACCTGTTGTGGCTATTCAGTGAAGTTGTAATAAGAAGGTTGGCAAATCTATTGCTATACCTGTTTCTACAACATACAGTACTTGCTTTCTTAGGTTGTTCAAGAAAAGTGATTATTTTGTACAACTCTTGGTTCTTTATTAATGAGTTTAGTGTGAATTCCTTTCTAGTACAGTACAACCTTTTTCTCTTCAGCTGGCCAAGGATAAGTTGTTGAATGGGAAAGATTTGCAGCTTTCTTATGGCCAAGATTTAACCTGTTCAACTTCCTCCCCACATAGACATGTGAGATTTTGCAATGGTTGCTGTTCATAACCTTCCTTGGGGAGGTGCAGTCAGTGAGCATGGTGTTGTGAAGGGGTATGGTACTGGTAACAAAAGCTGCCGGAGCAGTAATTAGTAGACTGAGGTGGTTAAGCAAAGGAACATTGTGGGAGATGTTTGGATGGGTAGCTATACTGGCAGGAGCTGTGCACAATAAAAGACAGCATGGGCCATGTGACAGCCAGGCAGTAGGTTAGTGGAGTGTCTGTCTGGCATGATTAGAAGTGCTTTATGGATTTCTTCCTATTAGATTACATCTAGGGCTATAACATGAGACTGGTGCCGTTCTCCAGGGCTAAATCTCTTCTTGGAACCCCTTTGAACCTGGTGTTTGTGGCTTGGTCTGTGGGCTGGTTGCTGAATAAATCTTAATATAAATAATAAATCTTGGAACTGCAGACCTGGAAGGAACCATGTGGATCATCAAATCCAGACCCTGTCAAGAAGGCATAGTGGGGAATTGAACTCCCAACCTCTGGTTTTGCAACCAGTTACCTAAACCACTGAGCAATCCGGGAATGTGTCCTTCCCCTGCTGGTTGCTGTGGAAGAGTAATTAAGGGAATTGCTCTGTGGGCTGTGCTTTGTAGGTTCTTGCTCTACATGCTCTACCTCTTTCACTTCAGACACGGATGTTGCTGTAAGTTTGCAAAACATATACCGACCGGGTCTTAATTGTACCATTTGGTGGGACATGGTGGCGCTGCAGATTAAATCACAGAAGCCTCTGTGCTGCAAGGTCAGAAGACCAGCCATCTTAAGATTGAATCCACACGACAGAGTGAGCTCCCATCACTTGTCCCAGCTCCTGCCAACCTAGCAGTTCAAAAACATGTAAAAATGCAAGTAGATAAAAAGGTACCACTTCAGTGGGAAGGTAACAGCGTTCCGTGTCTAGTCGCGTTGGCCATGTTACCACAGAAACTGTCTACAGACAAATGCTGGCTCTACGGCTTGGAGACAGGAATGAGCATCGCGCCCTAGAGTCAGACACAACTGGACTAAATGTCAAGTTTTGTACCGTTCACCCTAGTGGGCTTGAATTTGTTTTCTCCATTTTTGTGCACTGTCCAATGAGCTAACAGCAGAAGTTCTAGTGAGAACCCCTTCTGGTTTCAATCTTTGGTTGCCTTGTTCTTATTGGCAAAAGGGTCATGATCTGTTCATGTTACTCAAAAGAACTGTGTGCAGCAGCAAGGCAACCAGAAAATACAGCACCAAGGAGAGCTCCAAGCAAGCATATTACCTCAGTAATACTGTATGCTGAACTGGAGCTGAACTGGAGCTGAACTGAAACTTTTACTCTCTAAACTGAGGATTGCTCCATTCAGGCTCTATACTCGACAAAGGAACCTTTAAAGGGACAGCTCCCTGGCCTGTAGCTGGGATTGAGGCTGCTACTAGTTCCCAAGAACATGAAGCTCCTGAAGGATAGTGACCCATCCCCCTGTTGTAGCCAGACTCAGGAGGTTCTATTGCTGTGGTGCTCAGTTTCAGGAGTATTCAGCAGTATTCACAGATTCCACTAGAATCTAGGATAGATGTCTCCTCTGCTGGCTCCTTAACATCTGCATTTAGCTGCAGACAACTGCTTCACTCATGGGTTATGGTAGGACATCACTTTGGATGCATTGACTCCTTCACTGCCTCACAAATAGAGGAAGTAGGGGTCTTACACATATGCCTTTCCATTCTTGACAAGGACACTATGGGAATTGTTTCAATAATTATACAATGGTGTGGTGTCATTTCACTTGCAACTCTTCTGCTGGGAGAATACAGGATGCTGACAAGACAATGTTGTCTCTATGGCAGTATAAGCTAATGGAAGCACTGCTTTGCCCTGTTCAAGTCTAAATTTGTCTGGACACAACAGAATATTTGAAAAGTACATGTGAGTTGTTGCATTTGATATAACAATGCTGGATATGATTATTGTTTTATCTGCAATTTAAATATGTTCTCAGAACATTGCATTTAATGGGCTAATGATAAGGTTACTGAAGTTAGTTTATTTGTATTGAAAAATGCATGATTTTGTTTCTTAGCAGCAAATCTTGTATATATTTAGCTGGGTGTAGCATTGAACTAGATAGGATTTACTTCTGAGTAGGCATGAATACAATCACAACATTAAGTTGTTCATACCAATGAGATTTTTTAAGGACCTTGATTTGGTATTCTAATACATTAACTGCTTTCTTGCTATGTAAATGTTAAATGGATAGGTTAAAACCTCTGGGTGGCTGTAACACAAATATGTCTCTGCTTTTTTTCTTTGTGTGTGTCAGTTATTTTTGAAAAATCCTAGATCCGAACACGAAACTGAAATCTACTGTTTACAACAGGAATGTAATGGCTTTAGTTAGGGACTTGTGACAGTTCACTTGAGAGAAATGACTATGTCCAGTTTTGTAAAGGCGCTGAGCTATAACATGATACAACATCACTGTTAGATTGCCAAGAAGATTAGTAAACGCAGGTCTTAACATCTTTTGATAGGGATTTGCTTTCATGAACGTTTTTGAGGTTTGCCGCTAATTACTAAGAGATTTGGATCAGATAATCTCCAAAAGTAAGAATAGAAACTGGACCCTTATTGACTCTTATCCATTACCTCACCAGTGCTTTTGTCCTTTCTTGGATCTCATTGCATGGCCTGTCAGGTGTGATTTCCATTATGTTGCACAAAAACAGTTAGATCTGCATGGCCTAGGCTCACTTCTGCCATTTTTTCCTACAGCAAGCCACATTCATGGCTTGAATCTGATACATGGTGAGAGACACTTTCTTTCCCTGCCCTGTTTTACAAACTGATTTATGTGTGTGAGGGAAGTACATTTTGCTTTAACCATTTTGTGATTAGCAAGGCAGCTTCATTGTTAGCCAATTTTCTAGCCATCTCTCCCCCCCTCCCAAATATAAGAAAGCTATACATTCATAATGATAAATGATATTGGTCGCTATGTCCTTTTTAATATATATTGATTTTATAGTAAAACTGAATGTACACATGACTATCATACTTTCATTGAAAAAGAGGTAAAAATATGAGAGTGAGGAAATTGAATGAAAAATAATTAAAATAAATAAAATTTTGAGATTGGGGAAAATGAGTTACTTTAGCATGTGGGATAGAGGGAGGTAGTGGAGGATGCCAAAAGAATCACTAAAAAAATAGATCAGATAATATACTTCTGGTTTCTTCTGTCTTTTTAAAAAGGTCTCAGAAAATAGACCCAATAATGATGATCTGGATCTTTATGCAACTTCCCGGGAACAGCGGTTTCGCATGTTTGCCAGTTTAGAATTTGAAGGGCAGCTGTTTATGACACCATATGATTTCATTCAGTCTGTTACAAATGATGAGCCAAGACGTAAGTATGGTCCTGCTGCCATATGTCACTGCAGCTAATGCTCATAAACTATCATTTTCTCTTTTGTGTAGGTTCAGTTCAGATTTCCTGAATCTCTGCAGTTACATATTAGCATGAGTGTTCTCAGATTCAAAGCCACTTAATTTCACCAAATAAGAAAAAAAAGCAATGTAAAATAGAAATCACAGCTTCTATAAAGAGTAAAAATACTATAGAATCTTAATGTTACACGGTGCCTTTTGCATACAGACAAGTCTCTGCCCAAGAGTTTGAAAAAGACAATGAGTAGTCAAGGAAAGAAATGAAGAAGAATTACATATTTAAGTTTTGGATACAATTAGGAATGAGAATTTAGAAGATAGCTCACAGGCTAAATAGAAAATATGGGTTTTGAGAACTGATTTGAAGGAGGAAGGCAAGATTGGAAACATGTACAATAATAGGCCAATATCAAGCCAAGTTAATATGGTGAATTAGAGAGTATTTCAAAGAATTGAAGGAGGAAGGCAAGATTGGAAACATGCACAATAGGCCAATATCAGGCCAAGTTAATATGGTGAATTAAAACAGCAAAATTTAAAAGACCTGGGGGAATTTAAAAATTGTTCATCTCATGCCAAACAAGAAGTCTGTGCCAAGAAGGACTTCCTTAAGAGAGTATTTCAAAGAAGCTGAGAAAGCCCATGTTGTATCACCCCCGCTTTGAGGGCATGTAGTCCTAAGAAAGAATTCAGAGGAAAACGTCAGAACTTGAGCACATAATTGTTGAAGAAGGAGGTAACTGATGAACTAAGATTCTTTTGGATATTTGGTAACATGAGTTAGTGGAATTGTATTAGTGTTTTCTTTTAACTGCTGTATGGGTGTTTTAATTAATTGTTTGAGCGAATGAAAAATGTAGTCTGTATCTGTACATATTTCAAAGAAATATTTGAAAGCAACAGAGTATTTTTTTAAATTTATTTCAGGACCAAAACAATGGAAGTCACTTTCAAAACAGGTGAGCTTCGGGGGGTTTTCCATGCACACATAATTAGAATTTTCTTGTGTACATGTGATTTGAAAGACTCTACCTTTGTGAATTATTTTGTGTGTGATCAGGGGCATTGTGGGGATTTCTGATTCTTTTTCTCTAAAGTGTCTTATTTAGCTCTAGTTGAATGTAATAAATGTATTTATTTATTTATTTTACTGTCCATCTGACCAGTAGTCACTCGCAACGGAATACTCGACATAATGTAACAACATTTAAAGTAAAACATAATACTTCATGTCTTATTCCTGATATTATTAAATTAACAATCTTTATAATGTTATAGTGTAATATAGTATAATAGTATAATGTTAAGTACTTGATGAATGTTAAAATTAGGCTATTTGTACCAGAAAAATTAGATTGCACAGATCACTTAAACAAGAAATTAATGTTTTTGAATGCCGTAAGGTATAAATTGACAGTCCTTGGTTCCAATCTCTTCTCAGCCATGCGTGAAATCATTGATGGTGGAGTGTGTACTGTGTTTCAGTATATGGAGTTAACTATGGAGTTGCTGTGAAAGAGTATAAGGTGTTATTTTGCATATCTTATCTTGTATTGCAGAGACCCACTTTTTTAATTCTAGGTTTCTAGATTGTTGTAACCTGTGTCTTCCAGTGTTTTGTAGCCTGGGAATTAATCTGGCTCTTTTTGCTAGCTCCAAAGCTCCCCCTGCCACCACACACAGTGCAATCCTATTATCTTTATGAGAAGGGACAATGCTTCCACTACCCTACTTTTCTGAAAGTTTATTTGTAAAAAATAGCATTAATTATACTCCATCTGATTAATTTGTTATATCAATCAGTTGTTTTTTTTAAAAAGTATATTGTAATGCCTCTGCATCTCTCTTCTGAAGTGAGTCCTATTCATGTCATGGAACTTACTTCTGAGTAAATGGTAGCATCACCTGATCATCATTATGTAAATATCATCTTTCCCTCTCACCCTATCTTTTTACAGGAATTGAATCAGATACTTTTAGAAACTCCACCAGTTTGGAAAGGGTCGTCAAAACTTTTTCGAAATCTTAAGGAGAGAGGTACTGAGGAATATTTCTTTCGCAGAATCCTTGCATCATGTTTTGTATTATAAAGTCATATGTCAAAATCCTGTTGGTTGTGAATGATAGGAAGTGTTGCTATTGCTTTTAATTGAACTGAATGCATCTCTGAATCTCCTTTGAAACAGAATGAAGAATCAAACATCCAGGTTTCTTTCAGTAGCTTTTTATGATGAATATAGCTAAGACAATAGTTTAAAGTAAAAATGTTTTTTACATTTCTCAAGCGTCTCATTTGCTGTTTTTGGAACTGATTAAGTGCCTGTAAAAGAGAGATTAAAGACACATCTGCAGTTTGAATTTTACAGAATACCTTTCTGGACCAATGCAGTCTCATATCCTTAATCATGAAGGCTGCTATCTTGAAGAGCACATCTACATAAGGGTTTTAAAAATGTACCAAAATATTGTTCATATGTTTGTTCGTGTGCCCTCAACAGCCATCACTCCACAGGAAGGTTTTCCCAGCACTGCTCCTGGCTTTTCAGTGTGCACCTCCATTTTCCTTCCCTGCTTTGACACTAGAAAAGCACTTTGTTGGGTATAGTTATCATTCAGGTGAAGTATGAGGCAATTGTGACATTTGAGAGTTTGCTTTGGTAGTCATGATGTGAAATGCCTTCTCAATAATGTATATTATATCCATCCAATGCAGTCTCATATCCTTAATCATGAAAGCTGCTATCTTGAAGAGCACATCTTCAAATTATTAATCATTACCTTCAAGGTTTGATTAACTATTCATTTTTTTCATTCAGATTTGGGAAATTTCAATTCATATGTTTATGAATGGCCAAGTGAGTGTGTGGAGTGGTGAATGCCTGCTTGCAGCAGGGTGAGATCCCAGCATGTTTAAAGGAAGCAATAGTAAAACCATAGTTGAAAACATCCACCTTGCACCTCATGGTATTAGATAATTATATTCTCTAATTGCCTTCTCAATAATGTATATTATATCCATTCTTCAAATTATTAATCATTACCTTCAAGGTTTGATTAACTATTCATTTTTTTCATTCAGATTTGGGAAATTTCAATTCATATGTTTATGAATGGCCAAGTGAGTGTGTGGAGTGGTGAATGCCTGCTTGCAGCAGGGTGAGATCCCAGCATGTTTAAAGGAAGCAATAGTAAAACCATAGTTGAAAACATCCTCCTTGCACCTCATGGTATTAGATAATTATCAGCCATTCTCTAATTTTCCATTCTTGGGCAAGGTGTTGGAGCAAGTTGTGCTATCTGAGCTTCAAGGGTTCCTGGATGAAATCTGGATCCATTTCAATCTGACTTAAGGCCTAGTTATGGGACAGTGACTGTTTTGGTTACCTTGGTGGATGACTATGCTGGGAACTGAACAGAGGAATGTGTTCCTGTTGATTCTGGTGGACCTCTCAGTGGGAGAGGTTGTCTGGAGTTTTGAGGTTTGATATCACCAGAATGCAGACTACACCCAACTCTGTCTCTCCTTACCATCTAAATCCAAGAAAACTGTTTCAGTTCTAAATTGGTGTCTGGTGTCAGTAATGGACTGGATAAGAGTGAATAAAATAAAATTTAAGTCAGACAAGATAGAGGTGCTCCTGGTTAGTTGAAAGGCAGATCAAGAAACAACGATGCAGCCTGTGCCAGATGGCATTGCACTCTCTCTGAAAACACAAGTGGGCAACTTGGGGGTGCTCTTGGATTCATGTCTGAGCCTGGATGCCGAGGTTTCAGTGGTAGCCAGGAGTGCCTTTGCAATGTTAAAACTAATGCACTAGCTGTGCCCCTTTCTTGAGAGGTCCGATCTGGCCATGGTGACACATGCCCTAGTTACATCTTGGCTGGATTGCTATAATGCACTCTATATGGGGTTGACTTTGGAAAGTGTTTGGAAACTCCAACTCCAAAATGCCACAGCCAGATTGTTAACGGTGGGGGGGGGGGTTACAGATTTGCAATGTTAAAACTAATGCACTAGCTGTGCCCCTTTCTTGAGAGGTCCGATCTGGCCATGGTGACACATGCCCTAGTTACATCTTGGCTGGATTGCTATAATGCACTCTATATGGGGTTGACTTTGGAAAGTGTTTGGAAACTCCAACTCCAAAATGCCACAGCCAGATTGTTAACGGTGGGGGGGGGGGTTACAGATTATATATAACTCCCCTGTTACAGCAGCTCCACTGGTTTCCAACTAGAGGTAGGGGTATTTGATGCCACAGCCAGATTGTTAACGGTGGGGGTGGTGGTGGTTACAGATAATATATAACTCCTCTGTTACAGCAGCTCCACTGGTTTCCAACTAGAGGTAGGGGTATTTGTATTCATATATGAATACCCCAGCACGGGTAGGCATATCCACTCACCCCTCTACTGCTGCCATGGGCTTCAAATTCCCTTCCTATTGGTCTGGAGCTCTCGGTCGACTAGCCACTCTTCTACCTAATGGGAAGGCTCATCATCCCACCTCCTGCCAGGAGTGGCTAGTCGGCGTTGAGCTCCGGAGCAATAGGAAGGGAGTGCGGAGCCTGTGGCAGCAGTGAAAGGGTGAATGGACAGCCCAGCCCCAGAGGAGCAGACCCTCGCTATGTCCTCCCCTTCCTATTGGTCTGGAGCTCTCGGTCGACTAGCCACTCTTCTACCTAATGGGAAGGCTCATCATCCCACCTCCTGCCAGGAGTGGCTAGTCGGCGTTGAGCTCCGGAGCAATAGGAAGGGAGTGCGGAGCCTGTGGCAGCAGTGAAAGGGTGAATGGACAGCCCAGCCCCAGAGGAGCAGACCCTCGCTATGTCCTCCCATGTGGTAGTGTGGCAGCAGTGGAAGGGTGAGTGGACAGCCCAGCCCCAGGGAAGCAGACCCTCGCAATGTCCTCCCATGTGGTAGTATTTGTATACGAATACCCCCATCTCTATTTCCAACCCATTTCGGGGCACAATTCAAAGTGCTGGTTTTAACCTACAAAGCCCTAAATGGCTTGGGTCCAAGCTATCTAAAAGACCACATCTCACTTTATGAGCCTGCCTGGGCATTAATATAATCAGGGGAGTCCTTTCCTTCGGTCTCACCACCCTCAAAGGTCTACTTGGTCGGGACACAGGAGAGGGCCTTTTCTGTGGCTGCTCCCAGATTCTAGAACTCCCTCTCACAGGAAGCCAGGCTTTACTGTTCTTCCACAAGGAGGGAAAGCCCCTTCTCTTCAAGCAGGCTTTCCTTTCATGACTGGCTGTTTGAGAGGGTTTTTAAAATGGGTTGTTGTATTTTGTTGTTTTTAAATGTTGTAGTATTGATTTTATTTATCATTTTTAATATAATACTTGTTTAATTCTTTTTAAATATTTGTATACATACTGCTTTTAGCTTTTACATATTGTCTTTTTAAAGATAAAGACTGGGTAAAATATTTTAAATAAATAAAATCAATAAATATTTCTATTTCACCCTTTGGGGCCCTGAGAAAGCCACAAAATAGTCCTCTCAAGTTGGAGTACCCACAGAGGTCAAACAGGGATTAAAATCATCACTTTATTATGAACAAGTATTTGTTGCTTTCCAACAAATAAAGTCTAGGTCTGGTTCAGGTGTAACATTTTTGGTTGTCTAACTTTTATTGAAATTTTGGCAGTTAACTGCAGGCTGCTGCTTCCTTTCTCCTTCCATATTAAGCATGAATCCCTCTTCTGTTCTTATAGATAATCACAGTGCTATGTTTTATTTGTGCTGAGTCCTAATGCTTAGCTTCAAACAATAGTTTAAAACATCTTGTTCCAGGTAATGATTAGCAGCATTACCATCACTGCAGCATTTCTTCTATTTCATTTTCTTCTATGGGAAGAAAATGAGAAAACATACAAGCAGGAGAGCCCACAAATATGTGATTGTGTCTGATGTCTTAATCAAGATTAGAACTGGAAAATGATGTCTGCACTGAGCTTTGAATACCCTTAAAGATATGGTCCAAATGACGCCATGGTTTTCTAACAATATACTATTAAAATAAAAACAAAAATTTTGGGAAACATGGCCTTAAACATTAGATTCCTGGTCTTTTGTGCTGAATATGATATCTGTACAGGAATGTATAGCTAAACTAATAGATTTGGCAGTAAATTGCACATAGACTTTAGGTTTGGAATGTCTGTGCTATAGCCCTTCTATAATCTTTCTCCCAGAACATCGAGATCAGTCATCCAGAGCTATCTATCAATGGGATGGATATACTAATACAGACAAAAGGCAGGAATGTGTTTAAGATTTCATAGATAACAGTTTTTTGTCTGCTTGGCAAGTTTTGAGAGAGCTTTTCTTTCCTTTAGTCAGCTATAAAAATGGCATTAAAGAATGAATGAAGATACTTGGATTTAATTTATGGGCAGTACAGTTTACAAGAAACTGTCTTTATCTGGGCTGTTTTCTCTATCCAGAGGAATATCCTTTGGAGACACTTTAAAATAGTGCTTGTGGCATATGGAAGGAATAAGATGAACTAAAATAGGTAGTTATAAATTAATATATTTATTAGAAAGGTTAATTTCAGTTATGTGACTAAAATTTACAGTAAAATATTAAAATATTGGAACTGAGGTGTCTTGGGTGAATATGAAAGATTTCTTGTGTGTGTTTGATTTCCTTATTTTGTGGTGGTTGTGGCACAAGGAGAAAAGAAGGAAAGCTCTCTAATATACTCCTGTGTTGTGTATGTCTCTGGTTCATTTGGGAGGGCCTTATGTTAAGCAGTTACTCTAGTAAGTTCAGTAAGTATAAGTTATATAAAGTTTTAATTATGGTTAAATTTGAGTATTAATATTTGACCAGTTCTCTTGTGATGATTTCCTTCTGGGTATTGCAGCCCAGAGTGGAGTGTTATGGGGCTGAACAGTCCAAGCTCCAAAGAGCTAGTTCAGCTGAATGTATAAGGCACTGACATTCTTCAAGACATAGTATGACGCAGACAATTAATAAAAGGGGAAAGTGCTTGGAAAGGAGTTTCATTGGTACAAACTGTTCTCAATACTTACTTGACAACGTAACAAATCTTCAAACTCAACTTATACTATATATTTTCCCCAAGCAATTTAAATAGCAGCAGAGTGCTATGTGTCAGTGTTCCATCAGAAAAAAAATTATGTGTTAAGAATTAAAGCCCATGGTGGTTGTAGGTTTTTCATGCTGGAGGGTCATGTTCTAGAGGGCCAAACAGCCTAAAAAACCTACAACAACCATCGGATCCCAGCCATGAAAGCCTTCAAGAATACAAATTAAAGCCTTGCTTTTGGCAGCTCTCCACAGCTGTACTTTAAAGGCATACGTGATCTTCAAAATGTTCCCTAGTTCTGTCCTAATCATAGTCTCTGAGGCTGATGTTTTTTATATATCTGGAAGTGAGTATCATTGAACTCAGTGAATGTATTTCTGAGTAGCTATGAGTAGGATTTACTGTATGTTACTTGGTGCTGTAGGCTACAGTCTTGTACACAGTAACCCAAGAGCAAATGTCATTAATGGATTATTTATGAGTAAACATGTACAGAAATGAGTTGTCAATTAAAAAAATAGTAATGAACATTATTAAACTAATTTTGTTAACAGTAAAGTATGTTCTGCAAAATATTAGCCCTCATCAAGATGCTGTTTGTAATTATAGGAAATGCAATGTGTGCATATACCTGCTATGCATACAAATGGGAACAGTTACATGGGCACACTATATTGTATACTCTGAGTTTATTGATCTTTCATTTATTACATGTACATAAATTAACACTGTTAGTGGCTAGAATGCTCCATTAATACTGGAGATCCAAGTTCACATCTTTGCTCAAATACTGAAGCCAGTTGTAATGTGCCTTATACCAGGTGCCGGTCCGTGGCCTGAGCCGGACTGGGCCGCGAAGACAGATCTCCCCCCCCCCCCGGAAGCACTCAAGCTGACCCTGGCGGCTGGGCATTCCCCTACTGCTTTGCGCATGTGCCCGAGAGCACGCACACACCCGCGTGCATCTGCGAGGGGCGCCTTCCTCAGAGGCTTAGCTGGTCTGCAGTCCTAAAAATGTTGGGGACCGCTGCCTTATACCCCAGACTGATGTGCAGATAAAATTGTGGGGAGAAAAATATATAAGCCATCCTGAGATTCTTAGGGGAAATTTTGGTAATTATGATGCCTGGCTGGAGAATAAATCACAAATTTGTTGACCTTCTTTTTTCAGGTGTAATTTCATACACAGAATATCTGTTTCTATTATGCATCTTAACAAGTAAGTATTCAAATTACTTCTCAGTCAAATTTATGTCACATACTTCTATATATCTTATCACTTGGGTTGTTAATACAGAAGTCAATATTTTTCTGATTCCTGTTACAAGTTTGTATTTGTTTTCCTCTGGTGAATAATTACTAGAATAATTTTATGATTTAAAAAATATTTATTTAGGTAATTTACATGAGTACTGTGAAAGCTGTACTGCAAAATGTCCTTGGTTAATTAGGTTAAGAGTAGGAACTTTGTTGCCATGTAGCTCAGTTACAACAGTGGACGTGAAACAGCCTTGTTTGTTATAATAACAGAATGAATTTCAGACTGTCTTCTTTATTCCCATATTAAGAGCTGGTCTCAATATGATACAGGCTGTAGTGTGGGCGGTATATAAGTTAAATAAATAATATAAAATAGAAATAAATAAAATAACCACTGAATATATGTGGAGGATTACTTATCTAAAAGATTCCCCCTCTCAAAATCTACCTGCATACTAATACAGTACTTGCACACATTGTTCTGTTCCCTGGAACCTAAAGAAGGAGACTCCCTTTGCAATATCTAATATAGATACACCACATGTCTGTAACAGTTTGATACTACTTTATCAGCTATGGCTCCATCATTGGAGTCTTGGGATTTGTAGTTTGATGTGGCTATTTAGAATTGTCTTCTACAACGCTTAGTGCACTCTCCTGAATTACAGCAGAGTATTATGAATTCCTTAGCAAATGCCAGATATGCTTTTAAATTGGAGCCCAGAGTTGAGTGTTGTGTGGCTGAACAGTCCAAGCTCCAAAGAGCTAGTTCAGTTGAATCATTTCTGGATGAGAATTCAGAGGGGCAAGGCCTTAAGTGTGAAAGGCCTAGACCATCATTGAGCCCACAGCTGCTGCTTGTGGAATGAGCAATCTCTAGGAAGTTGGCATGATCATAAAACTAGACAGAATTTCACACTGTTCAGAGCCAGAGTAGAAGAAGAGCTGTAAGGGCACTTCACAGGTGACTTGTCTCCTTCCAGGAATGGGAAGGTATTTGTAACTCATGACATTGTGGGAAGATGGTGCCCATGCTTGTCTCATGCATAACAGACTGCCTGAAAAGGAAAAATTGTATGGATCACCACATCAGTTCCTTGTGCAAATACAAGTTATGGCACAAAATACCCTTCCACCCCTTCTGCATGTTTCTCAGTTTAAAAATAAATTGCATGTTGCTTGTAATGAATAAAAGATGTGGTTCTTCTATATCCACGACTAGTGTCTGCCTCTCTTAATGGTCAGAAAGGCACACTGTGGGATTCTGTAAGCCTTTTATGGAAATTTTGATTTCTCCTGTGAACACCCAAAATTTCATGTGTTCTGCCCTCTAGCCAAATTACCTGACATGAAATGGGATTGATTAAAACAATAAAACTGTTCTAATTAGAATATTGTTTGCAATTTGCCATTCCAAATGGTTTCTGGTGTATCAAAGAAATTTTGGATATGAGAAATGCTAGTTCTGATTTATTGTGGATGATGCTTTATTTTGGGGGTCTATTGCTCTGTTAAATAGATATCTCCCCCCTACTATCTATTATACTAATTAGTACTTTAATTAATTGTAATAGGAGCAGTTCTCCATGTGGAAGCACTGAATACTGATGGGAATGGGGTAGGAGACAGATTTTTGCAGCAACAGCAATATTCAAATGAGATTGAGTGCTCACTATAGCCTTCTTCACTGAGTTGATGTCATACTTGGTATCAGAGGTACAGATGTAATGAATATTCATTATGTTTCTTGGCCTCAGTGAAAAAGGTTTTCAACACATAAGGATGCCTCTCTTTATATATATATTAAAAAACCTCAGCCCCTGAGGGATTTTTTGCTTTTGTATCAAAGAGGATAGGTATTGCCTTTTTTCCATCAGCAGTAGCATTAGCAAAAAGCATTGTATTTTGCGCACACACAGTGTAATTCGTTTTAAAAGCTGTGTTTTGTGAAAAAACTGCTTCTGCAAAAATGCGTAGTTCTCATAATTTCACTCAGAAAGATCAAAAGATTTGAAATATATTGTTGTCATCTGCAAGAATGAAAAAAATGAGTTACACTAGACACAGAAAGAGTTGGAATTCCTTCTGCTGCTAAAATCAGATGTCTTCCCGTTCTTTCTGTGCAATTTGTAAGTCTAGCGTTCAAACACAAAACTACTGTTATATCTGATTTGGTCCTTTATGTCAATGTGTAACCTTTAAAATTTTATTTGTCTTTCTCTACTTTTTTTAAAAAAAATCTTGGCAGAGCCACATGCTGGTTTTAGAATAGCTTTCAACATGTTTGATACAGACGGAAATGAGATGGTGGACAAAAAAGAGTTCTTGGTGGTACGTATTTTATACATTACCCATTTGCCTGTTTCTGTAGTGTCAGACTAGGTGTGTGAACAAAAAGGTGGGGGGGGGGAAGATGCCTTATTGTAGAACCATTCAAGAAGAAGTTATGAAATAGTAAAGCAAACACAATTCCTCATTATCTTTCTTAAATATATTATCTGTACATTTTATCCCCTTAGCATATATATCCTATAGCTACTTGTCGCTTGCATACTGTGGTCTTTTCTTGGTCACTTTTTCAGGTACAGTAGGTGGCTCCATATTGTGAAAGAAAGAAAATAGCCACCACTATTTTGGTTCCTTTGCAGCCATATGGCTAGGGGTAACTGTTTGGAGATATGAAGGAGTGGTTCTTTGTCCATTATTGGGCCAGCTGTGCAACTGTTTCAGAATCATGCTAAGGGAGAAATGGAATCATGCTGTTAAATATTATAATGATTTAAAATGAGACACTGCTTTGTCACTGTATTGTCACTATTAATATTTAAAACTCAACAAAAACTAGAGAGAATGAGTTTCAAAAAATGACCTTATTTTAGAAGGTGCCAAGAGCTGCATTCTAGCAGTGGGGAGGATCAAACCCCAAAATGAGCAGATCAGAATCCAAAAAGGGAGGAGGCTCACAACATGTCTTTTTTCAATGGCCAGTATAGAATATTTTTTACATGGTCAGAACCTTCAAAATCTATCAAACATATCCAAGATCGGCCATATTAACCTGAACTGTACTTTTAAAGTTTGCTGAGAAGCAAAATAGACTCAAAGTGAGCACTCATAAAAACCAATTCAGTGTAATCAAATCAGTGGTACTCCTTTTATGTTGATCCATATTAAGACTCATTCCACAATGAATGTGAAACGTCACAAGAACAAGCATACAGCACCCACTTTCCTGACATCAAAATTGTCCAAATTAAGTCTTCAAATGTTGTACAAATTCTTATAAAAATTGTATTTGCTTATGTCATCTATTTGAGGTCAAAGAACAGAAGGATTTTGTTCCCTTGATACAAGAGATGTTGTTTTGTCCTTTTCTGCTTTCAACAGTCAATCCTATTATTTTGTTTCAGACAATGTTCCTATGAAAAGTGCTCTCAGATTAATTCATGCTCACTGCCGTATTCTGCAGTATCCCATAGCACTTCCTCTATACAAAAGGTTCGTTTCCAGAAGATCAAATGAGCTTTATTGATGAGTGCAACCAGATCTTCCTCCCCGTATCTTGTGTAAGGGAAATGAAAGCATGGAGGGTTTTTTAAAGATTGTTTTGCTTTTTCAATTATCTACACCCACCTTACCATTACTTGATGGACTGACCTTAGGTTTTTCATTTATTCAGTTTGAGCTATTTCAAATGTTCAGAAAGTACATACCATACTCCTGGGATTGTGTTTCTTCAGAATGTTGGGGCAGGGGGGTTTGCATGTTTCAAGGTTTACGCATCAAGAATTCTCTGAACTTAGAAAACTCGTATGCCAAGAAGAAGGCCATGCTAGAAAATTTTGGTCCTTAAAATAATAACTTCCTTGTGTCTCATTATCTGTTCATGGATGCATAATGTGAAATGGATTTGCTGGGTTGACAAGACTGTGGTTCATTAAGATGTAGCATATCAATATGGCTTTAGTCATTGGAAATCAGGGTCTAATTCCAAGTGCTAATCTTATAGTAGATCCATTGAATCAATTACAGAATGATAAGTCGCAGGTTATATATGTCTCATAGGCACGTGTCCGGTTCATGTCAGTATAACAAAAGGTTACACTAGCATAAACGTGCTAAATCTTATGCCTGTCAACAAAGTATTGTGCTGTGAAATCATACAATTAATCATGCATCCTAGGGACAACTAACTGCACAATGTACTGGTAGAAATGCTTCAGGGATAGCTGCCTCAGTGCCGCTACTATGTGTGCAGTCTCAAATTGCTAGGACTTTGACCATTGATTCAATAGGTCTATTTTAGTTGAAACTAGCAACTGGATTTAGGACTTTTTTGTTATTATGTACCATCAGGTCACCTCCAACTTATAGCGACCCTATGAATGAGTGATCTTTGAAATGTCCTGTCCTCAACTGTCCTGCTCAGCTATTGTAAACTCAAGTCTCTGACTTCCTTTAGGGAGTCAGTTCATCTCATATTTCGTCTTCCCCTTTTCCTGCTGCCTTCTACCTTTCCCAGCATTATTAACTTTTTTAGAGAATCCTGCCTTCTCATGGATGTGCCCAAAGTAGGACAGCTTCAGTTTCAACATTTTTGTTTCCAGAGATAGGTCAGGCTTGATTTGATCTAGGACCTGCTTGTTCATCTTTCTGGCAAACAAGGGTATCAGCAAAGCTCTCCACCTGCACCACATTTCCAGTGAAACAATTTATTTTCCTATCAGCTTTCTTTACTTTCCAGCTATCACACCAATACGTTGTGGTCAGAAATACAACAGTATAGATGTTCTTGGTCTTAGTCTCTAGTAAATCATCCTTACACTTGCTCATGTTTTCTTATTCCTTCATTGCTATCCTTCCTATTCTCAGTTATCTTTTGATTTCTTGGCTGCAGTCTCCATTTGGATTTATGATTGAACCAAGATATATAAAATCTCTAACTGTTTCAATTTCTTCATTCTCAGCACTAAAGTTTTGTAGTTCTTTGCAGTTGTGATTTTGATCTTCTTAACATTCAACTGCAGTCCTGCATTGGCAGTTTCTTCTTTCACTTTCCCTAACAATCATTTCAAGTCATTGCTGCTTTCTGCCAGCAAGATGGTGACATCTGCATATCTTAAATTATTGATGTTTCTTCCACCAGTTTTCACTCCTCCTTCCTCTGAATCTAGTTTGGCTTTCCTTATGAACTACATACTGATTGAACAGATAAGGGGATAAAATGCATCTTTGTCTAACATCTTTGTCTATAGAAATCCATCCTATCTCTCCATATACTGTCATAACAGTAACTTCTTGTCCATAATATAGGTTACAAGGTACCCATTATTCCAGCAACATTAGAAGGTATAAAAGGTCAAGTTGGTCGGCGGGGGGAGTGGGTGGCATGCCACGGCGGTGGCGGAACTGGGAGTGGTGGTGGCAGAACCAGAAGTGGCAGCAAAAGGGGGAATCCCAGCACGGAGGTGCCTTGAGACCCCACTCTGCCAGCTCCAGGTGTTCCAGATCCGCCTGCTGAAGCACCAGCACCACGGCTGCAGCCGCCTTCTCAGGTTTGGCTGCATGGGGGGCGGGGAGTAGTGATCCGGCTTGCGTGCCAACAGAAAGGGCTCCACGAGCCACAGGTTCGCCATTGCTGGTCTAGTCCCTGCTTTACAACAAAGTTAATTTAAAATGTTCTAGAGCTGTCTACCATTTAAGGCTTGATTTATGTCATAAATGCAAGAAGGGCAGGATTGATGGAAAGGATATCTGCCTTTTTGGTATTTACACATAACCCCATGGAACTTTGGGACATTTTTGTCAAATGTCCCATACATTGTAACTGCTGTGCTGGAAATGTCTTCCTTGAGAATTTCACCCACTCTCTATTAGCTTTGTATGTAAGAAATAAATATCCTTTGAAAAGAATTTCAGAGGAAGAGAACGTTCAGAAGAATTACCTTGGGTAATATTTAGGATCATTGTGCTTGCCTGGCTTATGAGATGGATGTGAGTTAATATGATTTTTTATTGTACAGTTATTTCTGTACCACACACCTGTATCAGTGACTCTGCAAGTTAGCACTGCTTGTTAGGGCCCAGAGGAACATCATAAGCAGGCCAGCCCTGCCATTAGCCCCAGTGGTACAGTTGCCTGAGCTGGTGGAGTGCTTGGGGCAACCATAGAACCACTTCACTGATGCACTGCCTGCTGCCACTCAAGCTTGAGGATTCTTGCTATTCCATGATATTTCTATATGTCAGCTGCTTCTCAGGTGTCAAGAGGATCTAAAGTGCCTTGAGAAAAAAGCATAAGAATAGAAGCCTCTTTCATAAGGAAATACATTTTCTAAACATTGGATAAGAAAAATAGTGCAGTACTGTACTGGATTCAATGTTTTCCTGGAGCTGTCCTCCCCCAGACCTGCTACAAGGGCTTACAAAGAAATAGCTCTATTATAACTAAAGTAGGACCCTCTTATCTGTGGGATACACATTTTTGGCATCACCTGGCAGGACAAAGTTCCAAACAGAGTAGTCCTAGAACGAGCTGCAATTTTTAGCATGTATACATTACTGAAACAGCGACATGTACGCTGGCTCGGGGATGTCGTGAGAATGGCTGATGGTCAGATTCCAAAAGATCTCCTGTATGGAGAATTAGTGCAAGGAAATTGCCCGAGAGGGAGACCACAGCTGCAATACAAGGATATCTGCAAGCGGGATCTGAAGGCCTTAGGAATGGACCTCAACAGATGGGAAACGTTGACATCTGAGCGTTCAGCCTAGAGGCAGGTGGTGCAGCATGGGCTCTCCCAGTTTGAAGATACACTTGTTCAGCAGGCCGAGGCAAAGAGGCAGTCCTGAAACCAGCAAAATCAGGGAGCTGGACAGGGGACAGATTGCATTTGTCTTCGGCATGGAAGGGATTGTCACTCTCAAATTGGCCTTCTCAGCCACACTAGACACTGTTCCAAGACCTCACGTTACCATAGTCTCTCGAGCCTGAAGGATGCCTACAAAAAGTATCCATGGATTTCCTTACCCTGTCTGAAAATATAGATATTAAAAATATTACATAAAAAATTAGAAATACAGTATGGATTTTCAATATGTAATTGTCAGAACAGGCCACTAGAGGAAACAGACACTATGCTATATACCATATACTATACGTAAGCTAACCATCCATCATTTCACTGAGTCTCCCGGCAGCTTGAGGCAGCTTCCTCTATGTTCCAGAGCAGCGTTGTTGTAAAATTCAGAGCTGGATTAGCTGATGAGGCAGGAGAAGGGGCACTAACCTAAGCCAGACTGCCTCTCGGAAAAGGTTTCCCACGTTTTGCTCTTCCTACCTTCCAGCCAGCCCTTTTCTCAGTACTTCCAGGCAAACAAGGAAATGCATTCTTAATTGTCACTAAAGAAGAAAACCCGCAGTCATTGAGATTGTTTATGTGTGAGGGAGGGAATGAGAGAGAAAGCTTCAGCACATTGAGGAACGAGAGATTCCAAAAGATAAAAATTACAGGTACAGGGAAGTCCTGAATCCAACAGACTGTTAGCTATAATCCGCACTTTTCAGTATCCACAAGGGGGGCTTGGAACCGATCCCCCAAGGGTACAGGGATCCTTCTGTATCTGCTGTGGAGACAAAATGTATCTACAATAATTCCTCAAAAATGTAACACTTGAAGGCCTGGGGAAGTACTGAACCTTTGAAGAATTACAAAAATTGCTGAACAAGTGGAAACTTGTTTTTTTTTTTCCTGGAAAACATTCAGAGATGTTTTCTTTTCTTATTCCCATTAAAACAGAAGGCTGCTTTTCAGAATTTTTTCCACATTTTTTTCACCATATTTTGATGGCTGTCTCCCCAATGCCACAATACCTTACAATGACACTAAGTAAAGGGCTTTGCGGAGAAAGCAAGATGTTAACTAGACTGCCAGTATGGTGGGTGTTGCCATTTACAGTGGTGCCTCACAAGACAAAATTAATCTGTTCTGTGGTTAATGCCGTCTATCGAAAATTTCGTCTTGCAAAGCGTGTTTTCCCATAGGAATGCATTGAAATTTTATTAATGCATTCCTATGGGGGGAGAAAGTCAGAAACCAAAAAAAAGTCAGCAAAAGGTCATTTACCAGGTACAGTAGACTGAGCCCCGCTCCTCACAGTGCCTTCGTAGCCCCAGAACAGCCAGAACAAGAATGCCAAACAGCGGAGAGTCGGCAACCAGCAGGGAGGTGGCAACCATTTTGTGGTCATCTCTGCTCATTCCCCGCCTCTCAGCTGATCGACGCTGGGTCTAAGAGGCTTTTTCTGTGCTAGGCGAGCCTCTATATCCTTTGCAATATTGCTTTGCTTTTACCTAGAGGAGAGAGGAGAGCGTTTAAAACAGAAAACGTGTGTAGAAACTCCACTGTATGTATTAAAAGTGAACCACATATTAACAATATAATCTGGCAGAAGTTAGTTTGACCTAAGCTTTGTTGCTTACAGCTTTTGTTGGTTGTATTTGAACACATGGGTGGGTGATCATCTGAATATTTTTTTCTATCTGAATATATTAGGACAAATATAGCTGATTCAGTTGGCTTTTTTTCTTTTTTGCAGTTGCAAGACATATTCAGAAAGAAAAATGAGAAAAAAGAAAGAAGAGGTGATGAAGAGAAACGTGCTATGGTGGTAAATAACCTTGAGAGAAACTTGCAAAAAACTGTAGACTGTGTTTCTGTCTCTGTTTAATTGATATTTGACCTCAAATTTGATATGGGATAAGACCCATAAGCTCACTATAAGATTTAGGGGTAGACACAGAGCTGAAACTTGGGCAGGATGACCTGGGCTTTGATCAGGGAGCCGAAATATAGGGGGCGAAAAACTTTTCTGCTGGAAGGGCACAAGACAAGTCACTGATAGTTGCTGCCGGAAGGGTGTGAACCTGCTCACCCTGAGCACACATATTGCTTCCAATTGTTCCTCCCTAGTCAGAAAGGAACACGTGTGTTCTGATAAAAGAATAATTGAGCGCCTAATGTTAATAAGTCATTAACTGTTCACTGTAAACTACAAATAGAATTACAGTTGGTGTGTTCTACTGATGGGTGTACTTCTTCAGTAACCTTCTCATTCATTTGGGTTTTTTGATGGAGTGGAGTAGCAGCAGATTGGATAGTTAAGGCTATAACATCTCATCATGCTTTCTCTATATCCTTTGCAAAAAGCTTGACAGTAACCTTTCAAAATAAAGGGAGTTAGCCAACAGTTAGGTTTTTTTTGGCTAACTTGATTTCAGTATTATTTAAATTAAAACTATGCATTAACTAGTAGGAATAAGTTAGAATTTAAATTCATTCCAAGTTAAGTTGGAAATTAAAAGCACCTCCAGAAAAAGAAAATGGTAAACCACTGCTGAGTATCCGTGATTAACATGATCCACAATAATTGCAGAATCAGTCTTTTCCATAATAATGGATAAATAAAGTAAATTTAATTTGATGTTATATGGGTAGAACTACTAAGTTCATGTTATGGATTGTGACAATGCTATGGATCCAGCCACCATATAGTTATGATTTATGAACAGTTTTCATGTTATCTCCCCCAGAGAAACTAATAAGAGAGAATGTGTTTTTTCCCCTTTGTTAACTTGTTAAATTTAGCTGTTAATAACTGAAACTGTAGTTCTAATCCTCAAACTTGCCACCTTCTGAAAGCTTGAAGCTTCTACTTTGGTCTTTTTTCTCTGTGAACAATCTAGATTGGAAATTGTGGAATGAAAATTCTCACCTATGAGGAGAACCAGCTTTTGGCTGAATATGTCTGATCCTGAAATGTTGTTTCCTGGGGAGAAATTGAGCAGCGCATCAACTAGTTGTGGGGGGGGGTGGTCATTTGTGATTAACACCTTGTAATGTGCAGTACCAAACTCTTTAACAGAGAGGCTTAAATAACAACACCCTTTTGTGTGGGTGGTGCTGGTGTTTTTGTTTTCATTTTGTGAGTGTGTTTGTATTTTGAGCAGTCTGCCCAGAATGATTTGGGGATGTTAGTGAGTTCAAGCAGTTATGTTGTTGTTAACTTTTCTTTGTTTATATGATGGCACTAAACAAATTTCTTTGACATGAAGTTGTTCAGTGAAGAAAAATCTTCTTTTCTCAGCATGGATATCTCTGTGTTCCTGTGTTTTAAAAAGAAGGGCATTCCTCCAAAAGAAATAGCATTGGTATTTTATTCCGTTCCACTAAAACTTCCTTATGGATTGTGAAACCCATTCATATGCTTGGCCCCAGTAAGAGAGATTATTTTTAAAAATGCCATCACTAGATTAATATTGTTTAGAAGCAGTAGATGGTTATCCAGAAAGATATTTTTAAAACTTCATTAAAACTAGGGGCTTTTAGCTTAGGATGTTCTAGGTTATGAGGCATGTTGCATCCCAAATTCTTCAGAGCCAGCAAGGGAAAACAGATAACATTTTTCTCTTTTGTTGGATCTGAATTCTTCAGCAAGGAAGGAAAGAAGGAGACCTCTTGAGGCTCGAAACAGCTTGCTTCTTCTGTTCCAAAAGCCTCTCTTTCCACACCAACTCTAATGGAAAAAGTCCTGAAACTGCTATGGAACCACTATGCCCTGTTGGAAAACTGGTTCACATGTGAATTCTATAGAAGTAGAACTATGCACTGTCTTTTAATATTGCTGAATTTGATTATTATGGTGACAGTAATATGAGTTGACTTTCTGGAATCTATTAAGATTTTAATATTAAAACAATATTAATACATGTTATAAAATTTTGTTAATATTTTAATATTGAGCGATATTTAAACATTGTTAAGGCTTTATTAAAAATAAAGTAACTTTAAGTGCAAAGTGCCTTTTGTAGCATTCAATGGGAAGCTTATATGTCTTAATCTATTATTTTCTATTTCTTTTCCCCTTATTTGAAATGGAACTCTTCATTTTTACGGCTGTCAGCGCCTCCAGCTTTATGGATACCACAGTCCTACAAATGCAGTATGTGCTATATTCTGAATATTTTTGCTGTATAAAGCATTGATCTGTTTAATGTAGGCATTTACTAGAAGAAATTGCTTAGTTGCAATATTGTTTTAAAACAAAATATTCAGGAGACACTACATGCTTGATGATTATCAAATTGAAAATTGAATATCTTTTTTATCTCTTTAAGCAATGTTAGCATTTCAGATCAGGGGTTGGAAGGGTTTTTTTATTCCTCTTTGGACTACAGAATCTTCTAGGCAGTATGACCATAGCATCTCGAGCCGAATTTGCAAGATTGTAACTTTACACACATCTCTGTTGGATTGGCTGGCTTCAGCTGGGAATCACAGTTCAACCTCATCTAAGGCATGCAAAGTACAGCCTTTGTCATGTATGTGTGCCCATGAATGAGGTGGGGGTTCCTGATTGTTGTTTTGTTTAAGTATATCAGTAGATAATTTCATTAATTAATGCATAATTTATTGTTTAGTATTATTTAAAATGCATAAATAAATACGCAATTTAAAGTGGCCCTCTAGCTACTAGTTAACCTGAAAAGTTGTCTACCTAGTTTTGAAGGTGTTGAGGCAGCAGGAAAGATGCAGCCAGAGCACCTTCTGCCCTATTCTTTCACCCATCAGGGCACCAGTTTTACTGTACAGTGATCTGGTAGGAGCACAGGAGGTTAATGGTGGAAGCAGGTGAGAATAGGAGTTGATTTCTTCCCTGAAGTCGGAACCTTCAGAGGAGTGGATAGGATTTTTGGTTAGCAATCTGACAAGCCCAGCTTGCTTGGGTTTCCTTCCTTCCTCCCTCCCTCCTCCCTTCCTTCCTCCCTCCCTCCCTCCTCCCTTCCTTCCTTTCCATTGAAATTCAAAAGGCAGTAGTCAGACCCTGTATACAGTGATGGTTCAGGGACATACAGTGGTGCCTCGCTTAGCGATTGCCTCGTTTAACGATGTATTCGCTTAGCGATTAGGTTTTTGGAGCAATTTTGCGCTCCGTTTAGCGATGTTCCCTATGGGGAAATTTCGCATAGCGATGTTCGGGACCTTGCCTCGCTTAGCGATGACAGTTTAGGTCCCCTGTTTCGCTTAACGATGTCTGTTTTTGCTATTTTTAAAGGGTCTTAAAATGTTCAAAAACTGTTTTAAATGCTTAGGATCGTTAGTGCACCTTGTAAAACCTTTGCAAACTTAATTTGGCTTTGTTCTGACTCTTCGTTAATTTTTGGCCAATTTTTTTCTCCCCCATTGGAATGCATTGAACTGTAGGTTTGGTCAAACCTGCAGTTCAGTGCATTCCAATGGGGGAGAAAAAAATTGACCAAAAATTAATGAAGAGTCAGAACAAAGCCAAATTAGGTTTGCAAAGGTTTTACAAGGTGCACTAACGATCCCAAGCATTTAAAACAGTTTTTGAACATTTTAAGACACTTTAAAAATAGTGAAAACGGACATCGCAAAACCATTGGAATGCATTGAATAGGCTTCAATGCATTCCAATGGGGGAAACATCTTTTCGCTTAGCGATGTTTCCTATGACGATTTTCACTTAAGGACAGTAATTCGTTCCCATTGGAACGGATTAACTGGTTTTCAATGCATCTCTATGAGAAAACGTGTTTTGCTTAGCGATGTTTTCCCATAGCGATGTTTTTTTTAACCAATTAAAATTGTTAAGCGAGGCACCACTGTATATGATAATTGTTTGTTATGTGTTGACTTATAGTGCCCTAATAGGGCTTTCAATTAGATATTTAAGGAGTGGTTTTACCAGTTCCACTCACCTAGTGAATTTCCAATCTAGAAGCATTTGGCCTTCACAAAGAGAATTTACACTCTGATGTATTAGTGAAAGTATTTATGAATTGTGTAGGAGTTATACTTCTGCTGTTGGTAGTACGAGTACAGTCATTTTTAATATCAAAGCTTTTGTTATAGTGAAGGCTAAAATTGACTTGGTTATAACATATAACAGATATAGTTGCTCTGTAGGTAGAATAGAAGAACTTCTGTCCTTTCTGTATGGTGTATTCTCTGGATTTTTTCTGGTGCACCCAATGAGCATGCATTGCATGTGTTTTATGAATCGCAGACTGTATTACAGCTAATTGCTGTAATATAGTGTATAATGTTTTGTAGATAAAGCATTAATTATTAAAAATACTAACCAATATAGAATTGAATTGAATGGATAAAATCAAGTTCAAAGAAGAATAAACATTGCTAGAATATTTTAAGTAAATACATTTTTCTCACTCAGAATGACTCCTGAGTAACAGTTGCTACACAGGCATGTTGTGGGATGATGCAGACAGAACTCAAAACTACTTTCCCTGTTTTGTTGATTGTGTTATAGGTGCTTCTAAAAGATATGTTGTATTAGCATAAGCTTTATCTAAATGTTCCTTAGAGATCAGTACGCCATAACCCTCAGAATGTCAGACAGAAAACATGTTTGTAATCATTGCCTGAGTTGAAGGTGAAGGAAACTACGGTATACTACCTGTTATTTTTTTACTCTTTTATTATAACAAAATCAAAAGTTGAATAGTCTACAGAACCAAAACATGAAAAGCTACTTTTAAAAATTATTAGATCCACCTCCAAAGCAACAATGTCAACTAGTTAGTTACTGTTACAGTTTGTCAAAAATAACTATTTGCTTTCCCTTTTTCCAAAAATAACTAGAATAATTACCTATATTACATTTTTTTAAAAATCTGAACATTGCAAGCCTATGGCCTGTGGCAACATACACATTCTCTTCTATCCACCTTGTTGTCTCAATAGCCACACCAGATCACACAGCAGGAACATGAAAGCTCATACGGAGCAGCCATTGAACCATGAGATACTTCTCCTTTTCAGTTTAGTGCCCCTAATAATTATATGAGTAAATAAATAAAGTTACTTCATAAACAAAGGAAAGCTATCTGTTGTCAAGTTACAATTGTAATGTAGTTTTGTTATTGAGGAAAGGAACTAATTGCAAGTAACTAGTTATTCATAATCTGTTACTTCCAACCTCTGTATATAATTATTTAGAGGGTGGACCTCTTGTTAATGGCTTTCATTGAGGGGCAGCCATGAGGGCCATGAAATGAGGAGATTTTTTCATTTCTGAAAATCACCTACAAAGGTATAGAGAATTAGGAATTTTTAATTTCTGAAAAACTGCCACATCTGTGGAGTAAGCTAGGCCAACAGGATTTCATCCTGTCAAGGAAGACAAAGATATAGTAGTATCTTTAAAATGTGTCCAAACACATTTTCACATCTGCTTCTACTTTAGTAAAGTAGGGCCACCATATCTGCCTGTATCTGCAGCCTGAAAAAATAAAATCAATCAATCAGTCCATCCATCAATCAATCCATCCATCAATCCCAGGAATACATGTTCCCAGGTTGTATTACCAGGACTGGATGGAACCAAATGGAACCAGAGACTATGCTATATACAGGTGATTTAATGGAAATGCACTCATGGCCTGACATCTCCAAGGGAAGCAGCTTTGGGTGAAATGGAGGAGGGGAAGGCAGTAGTTGCTGGTTTCAGAGCCTCCCTTGTGAACAGGAAAGCGGGAAACCCAGTCTTTTTATAAGAGTGGGCCAGGACTCCCTCTCTCAACCATGCACGGACACCAAAATAACTGAAAATAAATGCTTTGCTTATCTGCTATTTCCAGCATCTATGGGAGGGCTTGGAGCTGATCCCCCCTCCCAAATATCACAGTCTTACTGTACTCCATTCAAAACTACATGTTGTTCAATTTGCAGAACTATACTTTTTGTAGTCCTCTTTGCAGTCTATCTTTCTTGCAAGTCTTGCAACTCATGGTGATTAAGGAAGTGCGTCCTGGGGCATTTCTGCTTTGAAAATGGAAATGTGTAGAGATGGGCGTGAACCACCGGTTCAGCAATTCATGCTGGTTCACTGAATGACCAAACAGGTGTTCTGTACTTTGACACCCCACAAACTCCACTGGGCGCCCATTCAGAGGCAGCACCCAGAGCAGGTGGAGCAGGGAAGCCAGAGTGCTGCTTCCGAATGGACACCTGCCAGAGGGAGAGGGGCACTGAACCACAGAACATGTGTTTGGCCATCCACGGAACCAGCATGAACCACTGAACTGCCAGTTCCTGCCCATCTCTAGTTCTACGCAATATGTTGCACATTTTTGCAAAATCATAATCTTAAACTGTATGTTGTGATTTTTGAAGAATAGTATATAACAGTGTGTAAGCTGTTGTTGGTGATTTCTTTGATCTTTTTTCCCCTTCCCAAAAATCTGTGCATCTTGGAAATTCTACAGGTGCTAAAAACAGAAGGAGAAGACCTTGTTCCAAGAAGCTATTGGGATACTCTGAGGCGTAGCACAAGCCAGGCACTCTTTTCGGACCTTGCAGAGGTAGAATAAAACCTCTGTATGGCTGGTCCAAAAACTGACATTTACTTATCTTCTCCATGTTACTTTTATTGTTTTGTTTCCCTCCATTGTAAATATTATATGTTTTAACTCTTTTCCCCCCTCTTGATTTGGGAGTATTTCTGTTCCTTTGTTATTGTTTGGCACATTGGTTTATTAACCATTTCAATCAAATTTGGAAGTACTATTTTTTAAGAAACTAGAATTTTAGAGTATTAGAAGTGAAATAGATTTGTGTTTTAAAAATATTTTCATAGTCACACCTAGTCTTCTCCCATGTCTGTAGTTAAACCTTTCCATTTGAAGGGTCTGGACTGATTCAGTGCATTCCATTTAATGAAACACTGGATACTAAAGCTTTTTGTTTGAGTTAAAGAAGCACCCCTGCCTAGTAATACACATTTTAAATTTGAAAGGTGTCCACTTGTGATCACTGAAGCACAGCCAGTTCTAGTAGACCTGTACAAGAAGCAATCTGAATGAGGCAGTTCTTCTCACTGTTGTATGAAGAACTAACTGTATTACCAAAATTCTCCCTTGCATGTAACTACTGAAAGCACAGAGCATCTAGAGCAGGTTGAAAACATATTTCACACAAGCTCTGAATCTAACCTGGTGATTGATTGAAACGATACTTGGTGGATCAGCAGACCTCCCAGACAGACGAAAGCTAACTTTCATATTTATGTGAAATTCCACACAAAGACATAGAAATATTTAGACTTGTTTCTTTCTTAATTAAAGGAATGAATATATTAATAAACACTGTCTTGAGCCTACAGGAATTATAGGAGATGCCATTTTATCTGACAAATCAGATTTTAGCATTTTATAAACCATGTACACCCAACCAGTAGGCTGGTTCCTACCCAAAATATGAATTTGAACAGTGATATTTGTGTCTGTTGTAGGATATATAAATCAGTTGGCACATTCAGTTTTTATGTAGGGCTGTTTCAGTTTTTTTGCAACAATATTGATTCACACAAATATTTTAGTGTGTTCACAGATGTATTACTTGATAGGTGCTGAACATCAGTCTTCATGAGACCATTGCATAATCCCTGCATCTGTATTCAGACTGCAGACCACCTTGCAAGCATAAACAACATAAATGTGCCCACATAGCCCTGTTCTTAAAATCCAGCAACTTTGCTTCCTCTGGCTTCTCCTGGAGTAAAGGAGAAGGACATGGATAGCTGGGTGATAAAGGCCTTTAAAATACAAACATGCAGGTGCAAATCAAGAGACCCAAACACACATTTAAAGGATTGAATCATTCTTGTCGAATAGTGGCCAAATAGAAGCAACTTCTGTTGTTGGAGGATTAAGGCTGAAAAGTCAGATACCCAGAAATAAGGGGAGTTTTTTTTTTTATTTCTGGTTATTTAATGAGCAACTGATCATATAACGAGTAGTGTACTCCCACCCCATACCTGTGATGATAAGAGATAAATGCTTTCTGCATGATGGTAAGAGCTGCTCAGTAATGATACTGCATTGAGACCGATGCAGCTTAACACCATCTGTGTGTTATTTCAGGACCAAAGCAGTACTGAAGCTATCAAAGAAGCATGGCTATTAGTGTTAAGTGATATCAGAATGCTTTCCCACATTCACAAAAAGGAGCTGTTAGCATTTTTATGAGCTTTCCCAAGGGCATGAGCATGTGATTTAATTTTAATTGAGGTAGGTGATATCTGTTTCTTGCTTGTAGATTAGCAAGAATCTCTGAATTTACCTTCACTTTGTAGAACATGATTCAAAAGTCCTGTATCCTAACAAAAACAAGTGACACTGTCCTGCAGTTTTAAATTAATTAGAACAGAGCAGGATGTTATATTATTTAAAGTTTAGTTTGCATCTGAACTGCATTTTTAGTTTTAATGTTAGCCAAATGGGTTTAAAGAATAAAGGGAGGAGAAGGAAAGAAAATAATTTAAAGGATAAATGGGGGGAAATGGGGGAAACAGAGGAAGCTGCTGCCACCATCTGCCACCCTGGCCAATGGAAGCCTGGTAAAGCAGTCCACCCCAGATTCCTATTGAATCAAATTGCAGAAGTTTGCACCGCATGCAGTTAATATTCAGATATCCAGCTCTGCTTTGATTAAAAGGGGTGTTTGCTTGATGGTGCTATATAAGATTTCCAGTTTCTGGCTTTGATAAAAACATGATTGGAATTAGTACCTTTGCAAAATGTTCTCTGTTATTCATATTCAACAGTGTACTGGAAAAGCCACCCAATAGATTCATCCAAATAGACTTCTCTGCTTGCTAATGATAGGGAAAATCTGGATATTTTTGAAAAATTACATGAATTCAGCTATAAATGTTTCTCAGCAACCCACAAAAATTTTAGATCAAAGAAATTGCTGTAGTCACCTGGGTTGACCTGGAGAATGTAAGTCTTAGCATGCACCAGACATCTGCCTTGTAAATTGAATTTGCACCACTCCAGGAATGTGCCTAACTGCAATTCAGAGATTTTGGGAACTATTGCTGTAATGGGAATCTGTCAGTTTTATTTCTCTGAATCAAGTGCAGTCCTGCTGCATGGTCTTTGGGGTCCTGACTATTTCAGATATCTTCCTTAGGTTAAGTTTGCATTTTCTAAGGGGAAAAGATATCATAATCAAAGAAATATGTTTGTGGAGGGCATTGCACTGATTGCTGTTTGTCCAAAAATAGAAACAGTCCCTGTTCCTTTATAACACTGTAAGCATACACCACTTTAGAATTTAGTAACAGATATGTGCAACTTGTTTGTGAGCTATACAAAACCAAAAGTCAACTAGTTAGATTACATATTAAGTAACAGCATAGTACAATTTATTTTAAATGCTATAAAAATTAAAATACCTCAATGTGTACACTTACATTCTTTCCTGTAAAGCAGTTTCTTATAATTCCACTCTTCCTCTGTTCATACTTGAGGTTTTAACTCATAGGAGGTGGAATCTTTGACTTTTTTGCATGGACAAATTTTTGCAGAGAGAACAGCACAATGTCAAAAACAAAATGCACTAACATCTTGAGGTAGGCTTCCATAATTTTATTTTCCCCAATGAAGTATTTCCTTTAACTTTTTGCCATTAAGGAAACTAGCAGAGAGAAAACTACAGTGCAATGATCTTTTAAATTTCCATCATAATAATTTTAGAATTTACAAACTTATTTTAGTTACCTTATTTCATTTGCCAATTTCTCCCAGCCCCCTCTTTTTAAAATCATCTTCGGTATATCATGTAGGCATGTTGTATGTTTGAGCTGAAGCATGATTTAACTTGACTTGCATATTATATACCTAATATATTACTAATTGCTTTTGCAAATAAACAGTTTTGATTAATATTAATTTGATGCATGAATTCACTCAGTCTTAAAATCACCTCTGATTTTTAAGCAGAATGCATTGATAAAATGTTTTCAGTCTTTGTTTTGTCATTATAACTATTACAACTTCCAAAGTTTTATGTCAACTGGTGATGTATTTTTAAGCGTGCAGATGATATCACCAATTTACTGTCTGACACTACTCTGCTGATACATTTTTTTGGAAAGAAAGGAAAGGCTGAGCTTAACTTTGAAGACTTCTATAGGTGAGCACTTCTTTTGTGCCTTGGTTATATGTAAGGCTTTCATATATGACATTAAAAATAATGCATGCTTTGATTATTATCTGTATGTGTACATGGTTTGTTTGTTTGTTTGTTTGTTTGGGATATACTTTTCTGACCTAAAAAAAGCTGTCTTGGATTATTTGTTTTGAATAGCTGAAAAACATATTTTTTGCACACCATCGAAACAAAACAAAGAAAAAACTCATAACTTTATTCTGCTTTCATCTCAAGTTTCCAAAATATGCAGATGATTATGACAGTGCAAAGGGTAGTCTCAGGCCTTTGTTCCAGATGAGAATTTACTCCAGTCTGTACTGCTTAGGGAAGAAGGAAAGAGGACTATAATGTAACATTATCCATTACAAATTTTATATGGTATGATTTTGCTTAAAATATTTCAAGCTTACAGTTAGTAAGGGAAAAACCAAGTAGATAGTACATCCTGTTTTACATGTACGCAGATACAAAACTCTTTTGCCAAGCAGTTATTGATCTGGATAATATTACAGTTGAACTGCTGTTAATACTCTGTATCTGAATTAGTATTTAATTGATGTTGTTCCACAATGTTACAAGTACAGTGCTAATTGTTTATTAGAATTTAAATGTATGAGATTTTTTTTACATCTCATAAATGGGTTCCTAAATCTGTCATTAATATTTGTATAATTTAGGTTTATGGATAACCTCCAAACTGAAGTTCTTGAAATAGAATTCCTTTCCTACTCTAATGGGATGAACACAATCAGTGAAGAAGACTTTGCTCATATACTGTTAAGATATACAAATGTGGAAAATACATCAAGCTATCTGGAGAATGTGCGCTCTAGCATGCCAGAAGAGCAAGTAAGCTTTCAAACAAGGATCTGAACATCAACAAAATTAGCATAGAATGTGGTTATTTTTATGTAAATGTCAATTATTCCACTCTAAATTTGTTCACCAACAATTATGCATAAGTACAACAGTAGCTACTGAGCATCTGGCTTTCAGAAAAAAAGGAAAATGCAATTCATGCACAGGACATTCTGGATAGATTATGAGTCCACAGATTGAAAGGTGATAGTCAATAGTTCAGGACCAGTGGTATCTCACATAAGATGGATTTAACCTTCAGTGCTGTACCACAGGGTACAATGGGTAACCAGAACTTTTATCTGCTGAAGCACTGCACCATGATTAAAATGTATACCCTTTCTTCTTCCTAGCCTAATGTTCCATAAAGTATCCAGTTTGTCTGTTTAATATAGGTTGTTACAACTAAGGCTTTGATTTGCACATTGGATATTTAGAGAATTCCAGTGCCACATGATTACTACAGTAGTATCCATCTGCCCATCTATGTCCTTTGGATTATTTTGTAATTTGCAAAATTAGATACAGTATTTAAAATAGTTTTCCTGAGTAAGATAGACTGTAATACACAATTCTAACCTCTTAATACACAACCTATACAGTATAAGAAAATATCAAAGAACTACATGATAGTACATCAGGCAAAACCCAAAGACAATCTTTGAAAAAAAGAAAAAAACTGTGTGCTCCTTAAAGTCTAGGTGTTACATTTCAATATGGTCACAAAAGTTCACATTAAATTAGAATATTTAGTCTTTAAGGTACTACAAGATTTTTGTCTTTTTTATTTTTTATACGTTTTTCTTTGGGTTTTGCCTCATATGCTAGCACAGACTAACACAGTTTCCCTCTTCTAAAACCGATGATAGTGTGACCCTTTTACAGCCTTACAGCTTTGTTGGACTTTGATTTCTACTTTACAAACACAATACATAACCTTTATTGTTTTAGCCATTCATTTTGAGTGGAATGTCACCATATGAATGACGCTGTTCTTGCCTGAATAAAAAAGGTTGTGAGAAACAAAAAATTTTTTACACCTTTTACCTGGTTCACTGATATTCTTAAGGGAGGATCATTTGTGGAAGGTCACAGTTGAGTGAGCAATTTTTCTGTGCCCAAACAGACAGTCCTCAAAAACTTAAGCGTGGTTGCTTAGATAAAAAAAGTCATTCACTAATCTGTTTGTTAGGAAGTGTGTTTCCAGTGGTAAATTTTAACAACAGAGAGGTCTAGTAGAATCTGAATGCATCAATGCAAATAAATAGGATTGATGTTACAAGCACTCCTTCAAGCATGGGATACTTTAGATCTACTTTACTTTGTTTATTTGTAGAAGGCTCAGGTTTAACAGTTTTTTAAGTACTTACAAATATTTGATTTCTTTTCAAAGGGCTGTACATCTTGACAGTGTTGGTATTTTAGGCTGAAGAACTTTTTTAAAGAAAAGCTGTAAGCATCCTTTAGCCATTAGTCTTATTTCCAAACTTGCTCTGAGAAAATGTCCTGCATAGCTACATACTATGATACAGATCATTTCAACGACTATAGATTAAAGTAGGATGTTATGGAAAACCATTATGTTATAATCAAGCATAAAAACTGAAAATAAATAAATGCTGTTTACAGGAATAAGGGGGGTAGTCATGTTAGTCAGCAAAACTAAGTTGTAGCAAAAACAGACTGAAAATATGTCCAGATAGTCATTTGTCCCTTGTTTGATGCGTTGCTGGGGTGGATTAGTTCACTATTTTGGTGTCCACATGACAAGTGGACCAATTTTCCCCCAGGCACCTCTATCAGCACCTTTTTGAGCCCCTGTCAGGGCTTCTACTTTTTTGGTGTGGGTTGGCATACTCTAGTTTAATCCATTCCCAGCATGTGCATTCACTGGAAATGGACTAAAATAGTGGTTTGCAGCTATCAAAGCTGCCAAGGCTCATTCAGGTTTGCATTTCTGGTATTGTGAAATGCTTAATAAACAAGCTGCTTCAAGATATTGACAAACTGAACACTTAAGAAAACTAACTAGGAGGGTTTTTTTTCCTTTTTCATCTTTTTTTTTCATGGGGGCTTGTCTGTTATGTACAGAAGAGACGTGGAAAAAGTGAGTGCAGCTGGAAGGCAAAGTGCAAATGGAGAGATGTGTGTGGATCTTCAGCAGAACATTAAGAATATTTTATTTTTACATGGACACAGAGATCCTGTTGCAGGAGGGGGGGTCTCTTGTTCAGACACACATATACCCTTTTCTTTTAAATCTGCTTTACACCCTCCAAGCAATATCTGTCTCTTTTTCTTCTCTGTGTATGTGTGGACAATGCAAGGTACAAAAGGAGGGGATCTTTTTCTTTTGTCTCTACTGACAAAATTGGAGTGGTAGTGGGAGATTGCTCACACCCCTTTTCTGCATGTCCCACTCATTTCTCTCTGCTTCCCCCTTCCTTCCTCCCCCTCTGCAAACTCAGTCTAGTCAAATGGGAGCTCAAAGGGTAGACCAATATCTGTGTGCTTTTGGCTAGCAACTAGCTGCTTTTTCTCTCCTAGCACCACCATGCATAGCTTATCTCTTTGTATTTCTCTGCTTCTGGTATCTGTCCTTCTCGGCTATACCTGAACCCATCCCCTTTTTTCCCTCCTAAACTTCAGGATACCAAAAACAGTGATGTTTGAGGTCAGTATGTCATTTGGACATAAAGATTGCACCACATGGCATATCAGTCCTTCTCTGACCTCAACTGGCTATTAAGTTCATACCATTCTGGACATGCACTGAGTTCACAGGAGCTCATGGCACATAAAACTTGCTAGTCTTAACTGCTACAGGACTCTTTGTAAAGATAAAGGGGATGCTTCCTTAATGCCTTTTCCCTGTCTCCTCCAAAGAACAAACTGAAGGAAACAAATAAGAGTGCAGTCCCAACGCATCACTTTTAATCAGGGAGGAAATAAGATGGTATGTAGTGCCCTTCTGCTGAGGGGTATAGCTGAATGAGAAATCTCCCCTCAATGGTAATCTATGAGCAGAGTGTTACATAGTGAGGGAAGATCTGGCTTTGGATGTGCTGATTTGCAAACCCATCTATTTCCCTAGGCCCATCAGTTATTTTAGTCTTGCCAGTTCTTACCCACACCCATCATGCATCACTAGAAAATAAATTGGAAAACTATGGATTTGTTGGAGTAAACAACCCAGCAAATTGATCTCTTATCTTCTGCTGTGGCTAAACCAGGCTGACAGGATAGGAAGTAAAGTGGTAGATCAATTGATCAACCTTTTTTTTTTTAATTTGAAAGCATTTGTTTACTGTCTTTCGGTTGAGCAGATTTATCTCATCACTTCTGTTATCTTCACTCAGAGCTACTATGTTAAGGAGCAGAAGGAACATGACTGTTTTTGTTTTGTTTTTTAAATCTGCAGTGTGGGAAGTTTTAGTCTAAAGTTCCATCTTGTGGCTATTAAGGGATACATCACTGGTGTTTAGCATAATCAAGTTATTGTAGTATAAAGATGCATTGTTCTATGATTCTCTCTCTGTGCATGTGTGGAATGTGTAGAAAAGATAAGTTTCTCGACCCTCTTTGGCTAAATCTTCTCTTTATGTAAATGATGGTACTTAATAAAAAAAGACATGCCTCCGGAGAAGAGGGTAGACATTTTAGAGACATTTTAGAGACATTTTTGGAGACATTTTACAGGCAGACATCTTCTTCACCGGTGACATGCATCATAACTAAAGACTGTAGTCTGTCTTCATTTATCAGAGATCTCTCCCTGGTTTTCATGCAACTGCTGCTTGGCTGGTTCCCAAGCAGGGTTCCCTGGGGATTTCCCCACACTGCAGATATTCTCGAAGGATAGATGATTAAATGCAAGGAAATCAGTGAAATTTACTATATATTTCAAAATAATTGCAGAACTGAAGTTTGCCCAAATTAGCTTATAATAATTCTCTGGCCTTACTGTGAAGTCATTTAGCTAGCTACATATAGCATCTTCATTCATGCTCTGTGTTTTGTGTTCTGTTCAAAATGCAGTTCCTTGACTGTTCATTCCGTGATACTAACACCAGCACTCTTTTGTTTAACAGGGCATCACATTTGATGAATTCAGATCATTCTTCCAGTTTCTGAACAATCTAGAAGACTTTGCAATTGCAATGCAAATGTATAATTTTGCAAACCGTTCAATAGGGCAAGGTGAGAATATCAATATTTAATTCTTACTTTGTTTTTGTTTTTTAATGGAAGTCTGCTATTTTTGGCAGCCCTTTCACATTTTGGGACCACTGAATATTGTTTTAGTTATTTTTCCAGTAGATTTGAACCTCTCTGGTAATACAGTAAATAGTTACCTTTCTGCTACCTGCCTTTCAAAAAACAACAACCCAAAATGTGCTCATGTTGGCTTTCTGACTAACATATGTCTACCTCTACTCAAGTTTTTTTTTCACCTACTAATAACTATGTGGAAAAAAATATCTACTAATTATGTGATTCCCAGTGTGGTGTAGTGAATAGTGAGATGGCAAACAGTTCAAATCCCCACTCAGCCATGGAAACTCACTTGGGGAGAATCACTATAAGTCAGTTCCAACATGACAGCACAGAATACATAAAATAACTATGTGCAAGGTAGGATTTGGCTGCCTTTTGGTTACTGCTTGTATAAAAATTGTATAATACATTTTAATAAGAATTCTTATAAACACAGAATAGCCATGTTTAGATGTAACACTGTGATGGTTTAGCATAATTAGAATAAGACACTGCAATCATTGGGGTTACATCTTTTGTCATATTATAGTTGTGAGGCAGGGTTTGAAAACTTTTTCTTCTGTTTCAGCTTAACAATAATTTGCCATGTCATGTGAACCTACGTAAACAAACCATAGTTGATCTTAAGTATATGTTGAAATAATCCAGCTTTAAGCCATAGAACCTCAGTTGTTTCAGTTAGCTGTTGCTGAGATTAACCGTGGATTTAAAATGGAGGCAGAGGTTTCCATTCTCCTCATGACTATGCCTGAAACTTTTTCCTGACAAGATGAAAACACAGTTTAACATTGCATCTAAACATGGCTATTGAGTCTAGTTAATAACATGGTACCTGTGTTATCTGATTCAATCAATCAATCTTTATTTGCTATCTCAGACCCAATAGGGTATATACATGTAATATTTAAAATAAATGGAAGCAATTAAAACATTTCAAGATAGCTAAAACAGTATAAATTAATAAAATAGATTACCCATACATTGTTTTTTATGACGGGGTTAGGTAGAGGTCAAGATTGTCTTTCGTGTTCTTTGAGCAGAGAGAAGGAATTTGGCCACTGATTCAGTGTTTATCTTATTTGTGTCTCTTAATGAATAATTTATATGCCAAATCAGAGTCCTGCCTGGGAAGGCATTCATTATGGACTTGAAGAATTTGATATGCTCATTTCTGTAAAAATTACACTCAAAAAGGACATGCTTCAAAGTTTCAGTTTCTCTATCCTTACAAAGGACACAATCTTTTTCGTAAGGGGTGCCAGAATATCGCCCATTAAAAATTGCAGATTGGAGACAGTTAAATCGGGCTCTTGAGAAGACGTGCTTATATTTTGGGATAATCAAATTCTCCAAATACCTAGCACTTTGGGAGAAATTATAGTTTAGGCCAGGGGTTTCTAACTCAGTTTACCTGAGGGCCGCTGGAGGCAGAGTCTGGGTGAGGGAAAATGTCTAATTATGGGGCATCTCTAATATCTGTTTCTGGCCACAGACAGGCATGCCCTTTTGTTTTGTGCCAAGAGCTAGGAACGTCCTTATGATGATGATGATGATGATGATGATGATGATGATGATGATGATGATCATAATAATAATAATAATAATAATAATAATAATAATAATAATAGAGCTTAAAAACTTGGATAGCAGCTGGTATAAATCCCCCCCAGTAAACTTTGTTATCTGATTGCAAGCTTCTAATGAAATTTAATTGTTCTCATTTGTTCCTCCCATTTCCCCCAGTGTTCACATTCACGATCTCCTGCCTTGTTGTCACTAATAATCTACCTGAAAATAAAAAGTTCTGGTATCTAAAGCAAAACCCTAGTCTAAATTTTCTTCCACTTACAGAGATCTAGCTTAAGTCACAGGATGAGAGCTCATTGATAATTCATGACTTTTCATGTTTAATTATGTCACTAGAAGTCAAATATCATGAAAATATTTACATATTTTAGATTATGCAACTGGTACTGAGAGTGTCATCGAAGCTACCAACATGAATTTGACCAAACTCCGGGAGGCAGTGGAAGACAGGATGGGCCTGGCATGCTCTGGTCCATGGAGTCACGAAGAGTCTGACATGACTTAACAACTAAACCACAACAACTGAGAAAGCACCAAAACTTTTTAGACATTGAAAATGGTTTTGGCAATATACAGTGGTCCTCTTTATTTGAAATTCTAGGATACTCTAATTTTAGATAAACTTTTAAAAGATAACTTTTTAAATATACACTATTATTCAAATCCTTGATAAGGTATAAGAAGGTATAACCTATTTTTAAATTAGTTGTTTTATAGGTACATGGAATTCAGTGGAATTTACTTTTGAGTAGAATTTAATTTTATACTTACACATAAATAATAAAAGGACAAACACACACTTCCAAAAAGTAACAGAAAAGCTAAACCAGTTCCTATAGAAAAACATACACACACACAAAAACAGAAAATAGGGGGAAAAATCTGTGCATTAACTGAAGTATATAGATGGCCAAATATCCAGATAAGTCTCCATACAAAGTTGTCCTCTCTATGTCACACACTCAAATGTTGAAAACATTGTAAAGCCCTCAATCCTTTGAATAATAGATGAATGTATATCTTTCTGATGTTGCCGTAGCAGTCTTTAAGCCTCAATAAGGACACATAGAATCCATTCCCATCTAGTTTCCAAGACGTACATAGAGAATTTGAGAGAACATCTGTGTCTGCAAATTTCAAAGATGGCTCCAATACATGTCTAATAACCACCATCCAAAAAGCAGCTATAACGGGACACAACCAGATCATGATTTGAAAGACATATCAATTGTACTGCAAAACCAGAAATAGCCAATTTTAATTTATACTGAAAAAGCATTGTGTACACAGTGTACACAGAACATAGCTTTTGCTCCATAAGCTAAGCTTAAGATATGCAAATGTTACACATTTAGAAACTAAGACCACAGATTAGGTAAAAGCAATTCAATTATATGTTCCCTTCATTTGTAATATCTAGGTATTATTAAACAGCAAATATCTGGAAACAGTTTCTTTTTCCATAGAGATCCAATAAACATTTCCAAAAATGTAGAAAACACTGAAGAGTTAGAAGTTTTAGGGGCATATTTAGGTATCTAGAAATGTTGCAACTGTATATATTTCCAGTCAGTGCAACAACTCACAAATTATTTCTAATCCTCAACCTAACAAATAAAGAAATGTTTTGTCATAAGTAATTTATTTTTTTATTTATTTTAAATATTTATATCACACCTTTCTCCTAAAAAGGACCCAAGATGGCTTACTTCATTTAAAAGAGACTACAATAAAAGCTTAAAAAATAAATTAATTGATCCAAAATGAAAATTATCCAGTTATTCCATATTGCTCATGAAAAAGGCTTTCCCCAATATTCAGAAATTGATTGCTCCATAAAAGTAATTCAGCACTTGTAAATGTGTAACATTAACAATATGTACCATTGTAGTCTAACTGCAGGATTGTGCAGTATAGAATAGAAATATATAGGATTGCAGCATTAAAAGCAGCAAAGATGGCATTGTCCCTGTGATTGTTTAATGTGGGACCTCTCTGCAATGTTCTATGAAAAAAGCAATCAGAAAAGTGGCTAGAGGGCATTACACAGGACTGATGTAGTCATCATCATCTTAGAACTGCAGAGCTGGAAGGGACTCTATGGATCACAAAGTCCAGCCTCCACTAAGAAGGCACAGTGGGGAATCAAACTCCCAACCTTTGGCTCCACAACCAGATGCCTAAACCACTGAGCTGTCTAGACCTATTTGTGAAAAGATGTTTAAGATGGGAGAGGCAGATTAAAGGAGAGGATAGTCCGATCAGAGAGGGTTTTTTTCTCTGCAGTCCAAGAATATTTGTGATGTTAATTGCCTCTCTGGAGATCTAATTTGGGACAGTGATTTTGACTATCTATTGTAGTCTCTGTGACCTTTGTCCACAGTAAATTGAAACCCTCAAATATCATACCACTCAGAGAAAAAGGGAAAACATTAAGAAATAAATATTGATAACATTAGCCCATGATCAGAATGATAATTTTTATATGCTCTGATGGAGGAAAATTGTTTTGTTTTTCCATTTAGAAGATAATTGGAGCAGGAGGACCCATGGGTAATTCCAAAGTAAATATTTTTTAAAAAATATTGAAGTTTAATAAGAATATAATAAGAATATATCCCAACTAACAAAACATATACTGTACATAAATGCATGCAGTGACTAAAGATGGGAACATTCAGTGTTAAACCACAAGATGGAGCAGGTGTTACACGAAAAGAATTAGCTACTATTTACTAGACTGTACTTGGAAATTAAAAGCCATGACTCAAACAATATTCAAGTATCAGGAAAGATCATTTTTATGTGCAGGAACTATTGCAGAAAACCTAGCACCAGCTGTATGTTAACCTAGATTAACCTATACATTCCAGCTGAGGTACTTAAAAACAGTCTCTTTGTTAGAGAAATTGAAGGGAGAAAAGATAAAACCGTATAGATCCTTAGTATGGAGATCCCACAGACAGATTCTGGTGGGCTCAGGTGAATGTTGGAAAGAATCCACGAAAAAGAATCCAGGCAACTCCAAATAAAAAATTAATCCATCTGGAGATTAAGGAACATAGTTTAAATGAAAAAGTAATTAAGTCTGAACCCCATTTTAAAAAATAGTAAAAGGAGCAAGAAAGGAGAAACTCCATTTATTCAAAGCACTTTACAATATAAAAATCCAGCTGTGGAAAAATATTCTGTGTTCCAGTTAGCTGTTTAAAAACTCCTGTTGTTTGAGCTATTAAAAATCCATACAGAAAAGGCTAGCTCTCTGTGAACAGAAAAATCAACAGTTCTAACAACATAGAAGTAAAATCTCCCAAAGGAAGTAATGAAGATCAGTTGGAATCATGTAAAGAGGTTATGGAAAACTCATTCTCATGAAAATTCCCTGTGCTGCAGTGTCAATCTCATATGTTATACATATATGGTTAATGTTATGGATGGAGGGTGGGTGACATAAAAGAAGCATGTGTGAGGCTTTGACATTTCAATGTTAACTCATAAAAATGTTTAAATTTAAAAAGTTCCATATTCTCTGTGTTCCAGAAAAAAGTTTTTTTTTCCAGAACACAAAAAGGAAAGAGGGAAAACCCAAGCATGTAAGAGAAGATAAATTGTTGTGTTTAGATAAAAAAAGAATCCAGTGAAGAAATGAACTTTTCCCTGCTCCCTAGCACCTCAAAAACTTTTCTTGCTTTAATTCAATTCAAAGTGCTTGTTTTGACATAGAAAGCCCTAAATGGCTTGGGCCCTGGATACCTGAAGGACCACATCCTTCCATATGAAACTACCCGGCAAATGAGATCTAGCCAGCAAGCTACCTCCTGAAATAGCTGTCCCTCAGTGAGGGGAAAGGGATGGCCTGTAGGTGGAGGGCTTTTTCGGCAGATGCCCCTAGTCTTTGGAATGCCCTCCCAAACAACATCTGACTGGCACCGACGTTACTGACATTTCGGTGCCAGGTTAAAACCTTCCTGTTCCAGAAGTTTTTTAATTGAAGGTTTTAATTTTAATTTTAGTTGATAGTCGTGGATCTAGATTGTTTTTGTAGATTGTTTTTCTTTTAACTGTATTGGTTTTTAGTGTGTTCGTTTTCATTAAATTGTTTTAATTGATGTTAGAAGCCGCCCAGAGACTCTTGCAGAGTGTGGGTGGCATTCAAGTTGAATGAATAAGTAAGTAAGTAAGTAAGTAAGTAAGTAAGTAAGTAAGTAAGTAAGTAAGTAAGTAAGTAAGTAAGTAAGTAAGTAAGTAAGTAAGTAAGTAAGTAAGTAAGTGGTTCCTTCTCTTTCCCCCCTTCTTTCATAACTTAAAATCATTTCTGTATTGATAGACTGTAAGTCAGGAGGAAAAGGTTTATCATCATTAATTTTTCCTTACTGTTTAAAAAAAGCAAACTGTTTATAAAACATAAGTTCTGAACCCAATATTTTTTTCTTCTATTCAATAGCTCTTTAGATCTTGTCCCATGGATTCTTCAGCAGTAACCTGAGCTGCATGGTGTATTTATCCTTTGTATTAAAGTGCACTTCTTTTCAGAATAATTTACATGTTATGTGATTGTTCAGTGCAGTATGCTTATTTGCCTTGTTTCTTTAGATGAATTTAAGCGAGCCGTGTATGTAGCTACAGGTTTGAAACTTTCAGCACATTTAGTGAACACAGTCTTCAAGATTTTTGATGTAGACAAAGATGACCAGCTGAGCTACAAAGAATTTATTGGCATTATGAAAGACAGATTGCACCGAGGATTCAGGGTAAGAATGTTAATTATCTCTTTAATCATAAAAGATTTGTGCTTCAGTTGTGCCTGATAATGTAAATATCGTATAAACAACTTTAGCACTGCTGTTTTCATAACTGATTCAAAATTATTTTATGTATTTATTTTATTTAACAATTAATGTCCTGCAAGTTCAGTCATGGCAACTGGATTTCTTTCTTTTTAGGTTGAAACTCATCCAAGCAGCTTCTTCAGTCTAAGGAGAGTTGGAAGGAGATCCCTGATATATCCTGATGTATATACCACATGTGTCCTACCAACTCTTCTCAGACTGAAGAAGCTACATGGATGAGTAGTGAAACTTTCCAACGTAACAAGAAAGAAGTCCACTTGCCATGACTCAACTTCCACATAACCACACCTGGATGGGTGAAAATCTTCACAGATAAATTAATATCCTATTTTCAACTCTAAAGAATATACAAAATTGTGCCTCATAAATGTGGTTTTGTAATTTTCCTTCTTGGCTTATTAGTACTATCAATTACAAGAACTACAACAAAAAGAATATTGTTGTCATATGTATTAACATTTTCCATGTAATCTCACTCTTATATCTGAGGAAATGTATTTAATCCACAAAAGCTCACCTTAAAATATAACAGTTAGTCTTTAAGGTCCCAAAACATTTTGTCTTCTTTATTTTTATTTTCTTTATTTTTTCTTTTACTTTGTTTTTGCTTGATATGCTTGCACAGACTAACAAGGCTACCACTTCTAAAACTACAACAAGAATTAACTAAGATTATTTCTAAAATAATTTTAATTCCCAGTTGTTCTTGACCATGTTTAGAGCTATGTCCATGTATGTTAGTTGTACCACTCCTATAGAACTGGATTCTTTTCTTCTATAGTGATGCCTACAGATGCAGTCCAGTCCACTTTGCCGTTGACGCAGTAGGTCCTCAGTTCATTATCTAGTGGTTCTAGCAGATGTAATATTTCATTAAAATTTATAGACTGGGAAGTTGCTATTTAGAAGTGTTTGTATGCCACAGCATATCCGTTAGATTTAGAGGTTTGATTTGTAGCCCTTACTGCTTTCTGCTGATACTAGATTTGCTAAGTAGTTCAGTGGAAATTAATTTTGTCACAAAAATATTTTAGATAATTCTGTATCTACTATAGTATAATTGCGTAAAAGTACAGTTTTAAATTACATGCAGTCATCTAAAACATCAAAAATACAGTAATTCAGATGTTTAATTTAAAGCATGAAATAGATTATCTGATGTAAAGATATTAAGTTAATTGTTGGGATGAACAAGCTTGCATATGCATGGCTAACAAATCAGTTGGGTTATTTGGTACTTTCAATCAAACCATTGAACAACTTTGATGGATTTGTTCAGTTTTAACAGCTAATCAGCCTGCCGCCTTTCCCTTTCCCAACAGCTTCCCGTTGTCTTTGATTCTCTTGTCCTTCCTTGCATCTCCTGAGTGTATCAGCTGATGAGGAGAGTAGCTATAAAAGCTTCTCCTCAGTGCCAAATGATACTATGCAAAGGTCATCTCCTACTGAATTATGGGATTTGATGACCCCTTTCTCCATCAGCTGGTTCTTCTATTTTTCTCTGTGTCTCATGGATACACCGATTCTCACCATCTACTTACTTGACCTATCTCTGATTCAGACTCTCTTAGCATTTAAATTGGTAATCCACCTATATTTGTAATATTCAGCTTCTTTCAAGTATGGTGACAAAATTCATTTCTTCCTTGTGGTCCAAATATTTTTCAAATCTGAAATTTGTTCTTGGCTTTATAGCTAGTGGAGGATTAGAATATGCTTTTTCATCTGCCTGTAGAATTACTCTAAAGAAACCCAGATGTTTTCCATATTTCTAAATATTAATTTGTCATTTGCAAATACTAATAGTGTGCTTTTAAAATTTAAACAATTTTCCCATTATTTCATCCGGTATGTTTAACTGCCATCGTGTGGACAGTCACTGTATTGCCAGATAACTGAGTATGGATAAAAAAGAGAAAAGCCACGTAGTCTTTGTATATACAATCCAAAGGCAAGGGTAGGGGATACCTTTATTTGGTCACTAAAACGGAGACCCATGCCATGCAGAGTTGACATCTATTTATTTATTGTTACTATCTTTTAATTGTCTAGTAACAGCAGTACCCTTGTCTTCATATTGAGTATGGATGTTAGTAAATAGAGATGAGCACGAATCTTGGTTGGGAGGTTCATGCTGGTTTGGTTCGCATCAGTTGGCTGCCTCCCCAGCCAATTGTCCATTCATTATTTAGAGTGCGCTGCTCTCCTCCTCCTCTTTGGCTGTTCGACCAGTCTCCAGCAAGAGCGAGGGTTTGCCTGTCCCGCCTCCTTGTCTGAGTGGGTGATCAGCTAAGGAGATGGGGCAGGGAAATCCATGCTCCTGCAAGAGACTGGTTGAACAGCCAAAGAGGAGGAGAAATTTTCACACTGGCTGGTGATGTGAGGAATCCAGCTGGGGAAGTGAGGAAAGGGAATTCAGGGCACCTGTGGTGGTGTGCATGTGAACCAGCATGAACCTCCAAACCAAGGTTCATGCCCATCTCTAATAACTATAAATAAGTCACAATAAAGCAGGCAGTGAAATATTTAAAAAAGAGATTTCAGATATTTTATTATAAAAATAAATGTCTAATATAGATATTTATCAAAATTATTATTGTTTTCACTACAGTGGAATAAATAATTGCATCATTGATGCATGAACATTAGATTTGCTCAGCTTTCCATACTACGGCTAAAACCCCAAATTCTCATGTATCTTCACGTTATTCTTCCAAATGTTCCTGTCTCACTGCTTTCATGCACTGTACACTTCTTTGTCTTCTACTCCTTAGGGCTATAAAAGATTGCAGAAATACACAACTTTCAAATCCTGTGTGAGGAAGGAACTTAACAGCAGCAGATAAAACTATGGTATGTTTCTTCTGTATGGCACTTCTATGATTTCTGCTAAGCAGGTCTCATGGCTGCCTTTTCAACTGATAACTAGTAAACAATAGAATTTATTGTTTTTTAGCTATATTCATTTATTGAAGGGACCTAACATATATTTGTCTCATTTCGGACAAAAAGGGGGTGTCTGAACACACCGAGACAACCTACTGGGGGTGGGGGGAACTAGCAATTGCTGTGGGATTGATTGATTGATTGATTGCTCCTGCACAAAAGTAAACAGTTTTGCATCAGATTTGGCACAGATAAAATCAAAGGGGAAAAACAGTGATTGCATGGTCTAAGTCTGAACACAAGGAAGCCCAGTTCTTTTCACTGGGAATCATCTCTTTTTGTTCATTCAGCAGGCAGTCATTTCTTGTGCTCCAATTCAGCTGACATCACTTTTTCCGCTTTCTGGCATGTGTGATCACTTGATTTCATGAAAAGAGACAGTTGCACAGAGTTGTCAGTGAGAGCCCTATTACATCAATTCCTCTCAACTGAATGCCTTTTGTATCCCCTCCACCAAACACATTTTCTATTTTTATAAATTATGCTTGCCAAAGATAGCTCTATACCAGGCAAGTGCTATGTCACTTCAGAAAAAATGAAAAAAATAAAAAGAAGATAAGGAAATGGTGGCCCATGTGAAAATTATAGATTTTCTCAAAGATGGCTTTTTTCCTCACAGTTACAGTTTTCTACCTCTGCCCCTGTGGACTTCTGCAACACCACAATTTATCATATTTGTGTGGATGGCTACGATGATAGCACCTGCAAAAACCAGCAGGGGTCCAGTTTTAAAAGCTTAGAAGCAAACTGGGTCTCTCCCTGTGTAGTCACACCCTAGAATTAGACTTAGGCCAATAATTTTATTTTTCCTATGTTAATATTTATATGTTTTATTAAAACTTAAGACTATGGTGATATTTTAATAAAAATATTAGAAACAAAAATTATATTGATTGTTGTAGGTTTTTCAGACTGTTTGGCCATGTTCTGAAGGTTTCTCTTCCTAACATTTCTCAAACAATATTCATGCCCACCACAAAAATACAACAAATGTTACGATCAGCAAAGGACAAAAGGGATGCCCTCACCACTGCAGGAATATACCGGATACCTTGCAGTTGTGGCCAGGTATATATCGGGACTACAAAATGCAGCATCCACACCAGAATCAAAGAACATGAGAGACACTGCAGACTAAAACAACTGAAAAAATGGCTGTAGCTGAACATGCCCTAAAACAAGCTGGACATAAAATTCTATTTCAAAACACAGAAGTACTGGACAACACCAGCAATCATTATGTTAGACTACACGGGGAAGCCATTGAAATCCACAAACACCAACAGAGCTTCAACAAAAAAGAACGTCTAAAACTCACCAAAGCCTGGCTCCCAGCACTGAAAAATATAGCCTGCAAATGGTCAACAAACTCTACCCAGCCACAAGGACCCGTGATCACTGCACACAAAAGATAGCTAATGGCACCCATCAATCACAGTGACAGATCATCTCTCCCCCCTTATCACTACAATACACACAACAAAAAACATCCTGATCACCATAATCACCCAGTGTCCTGAACAGTACAAAAAGCAGACCCCACAGCTATTCAACTATCTGACATATTACACCAGAACACAGACAGAGGTCTAACTCCTGTCCTCTGAAGATGCCAGCCACAGAGACAGGCAAAACATTAGGAAGAGAAACCTTCAGAACACAGCCAAACAGCCCAAAAAACCTACAACAACCATAGGATCCCGGCCATGAAATCCTTTGAGAAAAAATTATATTCTCACTTTGAATTTTTAGTTACATACTACATTAGGCAGAAAGACTTCCCATGTCTTTCAGATCGGATGCAGCCACATAAGTTGAGTTTGTTTGTTTTAATCTTGCATGGTAATGGTGATAGCTGACATTTATCTAGCTTTTGTAATCTGTAGAGATTTTCTTGTTTTGCTTTATATTTTATAGATAGCTTGTCTTTAATATGTCTTTAATATATGTTAATTTGTTAACAGGGAAAGCGAAAATATGGGTTGAAAAAACTCCATTTTTGCGTGATGACTGTGCTAGGAAAAGACTTCACAGAACTTTGGAAGCAATATCGGAATTGTGATATACTGAGATAAATAACAAGACATGTCCACATTTGGTCATCATTAAAATTTGCTCTTCTTTCTCCACTCCCCCCCACCACCACTCTATTTTTATCTTTGCAAACTGAATGCAGAAATCAGCAAACCAAGAACTGAGTGAAATATCTTCCATTCATAGCAACTTGGACTGTGATCCCATTAGGAGGACTGTCAGTAGCATGAGAGCTATCTATAAATAATTCTTAATCTTCTTCTCCTTTCCCGTTCATGCGAATTGTTGCAAGGATGTTCTTTAATGATTAGAAATTATTTTCAAATCAATGTAGAGAATTTGTATGCATGTTTTCTCAGAAATAAGTTACAGTGGATTTGATGAGCCTTCCTCTAAATTGAATATGCCTAGAACTGCAGCCATAGAATATATTTTTAAAAAACCTTTTGCCCCCTCCCAAACCAATGTTGTTATTATTTAATACGGTAATCTGGTTTTATCTTTTCAAGTCCCTTAGGGACGCACATTAAAATAAACAAGATAAAACCATTCATGCAGCAGCTCTCACTGCTGAAAATATAGAAATTCCATAGATTCCTTTTTTGATATGGACAGAGCAGTACAGCTCTATAAAAGTAGAATCATGTAATTCTAATAATTTTGACAAAGTTTCACATGCAAAGTTTAGACATTTGATCAGTGAAGGAAACTACACATATAGAAATGCACAATATAAATGCTCAAAAACTTATACATTCTTTTTTCTAGCAGGAACAGATTCCCATAGCACCCAAACTTGGGGCTGTTTTACTTTAATCACAAATGTCCACAAAAATGTGAACTCATTTTAGTAATTTTTAAAAGATCTGTTGTATTTATTTTGTTCTTAAATGCCATTCCATTTTCTTTGTATGTGTGTTATGTCGATAAATGTGCCTTTAAAAACATGTATAGAAGAAATATTTTCATTTCATATTATAATGTGAACATGTTTTTAAATAGCAGTGTGAAATGAAATTCATTTTGAAGCAGAAGACAGTTAGATAGCTAGAAATTATAAATCTGCATTTAGGTTGCTGTGAAATACTAGCTGGAATGCTGCTGTTACCTTTAACCTGTTTAAGATCGATGGTATCAGAAGTGACAGCTGTTTTTCAGGAATTAAAAAATTCTGATTCCACACACACACAGACAAAGGTTCTGAGACTCACTTGGCATCCCTTCAGGCCTGGATAAGCCTTTGGGGGCCACAGGACAGATAGGAAGTAATTAATGTTTGAAAATTGCCACCTTCAATACTAACAGTGCAACTGGGACCAGCAGTTGCAATTTTTAAACATCAAAGACTTCCTTCCATGCCCCCACGAAGGCTTTAACAGGGTAAAAGAAGTCTTAAGGCAGGCTTGTCCAACCTGCGGCCCGAGGACCGCATGTGGCCCAGGTCGGCTCATAATGCGGCCCAGTGCAATTTTTTATTTTTAAAGAAATTCCAAAGTTTCAAGTTACACTGCTGGCACTTGCGGCTGGAATGTGGCTGGGGCACGTCACAACGGTGGGAGGGGGAGAGGGAAGGAAGGAAGGAGTGGGAGGGGAGGGAACAGGGGAGCTGCATGACTGCATTGTGCTGTCCCCGTCAATAGGTGGACCCCTCCCGGCCCCATAAGCCATCCCCGTCAATAGGTGGACCCCCTCCTGGCCCCATAATGCTGCCGGAGTTGAAGCTGGCAGCCTCTGCTGTCTGAGATCGCAGCTGCCAGTAAGCACACTTGGAGCGGGGCTGCGGAGGATGGCTAGGGCTGCCCCCCCCATGCGGCCCAAACCAAATTTATGTGCAGCCCAAACCAAATTTTCATCTTCTAATGTGGCCCAGGGAAGGTGAAAGGTTGGACACCCCTGTCTTAAGGGATGTTAATTGAAGCTTAATCTAGACAAGACAGAGGTGGCCCTGGTCAGTCAAAAAGCAGATCAGCAAACAGAATTTCAGTCTATGCCAAATGGGGTTACAGTATGTTCCTCTTGCAAACATAGGTTTACAGCTTGGGTGTGCTTCTGGATTCATCCTTGAACCTGGATATCCAGCTCTTACTGGTGTCCAGAAGTATATTTGCACAGTTAAAATTAGTGTGCCCACTGCGCCCATTCACTGGCCTGGGTGATACATGCCTTGGTTACATCCTAATGCACTCTATACACAGCTGCCTTTGCAAACTGTTTGGAAACATCACCAGGTCCAAAATTCAAAGTGCTAGTTTTGACCTATAAAGCCATCAACAACTTGGATGTGAGTTATCTGAAAGACTGTATCTCCCTTTATGAGCCTGTCCAGGTTTTAAAATGGTCAGGGAGGCCTTTGTCTCAGTCCTGCCACCCTCATAGTTGGCAAATGGCACATACAAAAGAAAGGGCCTTCACCCTCACTGCTCCCAAGATGTGGAACTCCCTCCCACAGAAGGCCAGACTGGCTCCCTCTGCTGTCATTCTACAAACAGGGCAAAGGCCTTTCTTTTCAGGCAGACTTTTTTCTCAGAAGCTGACTGCCTAACAGCGGCTTTGGGTTTGGCTTGATATTGTTTTTACATTTTTTATATTGTTTTTATTATTGGAAGCCAGCTTAGGTCCTCTTGAGGAGAAGGGTGCAGTATAAATATTTTAAATAAATAAGCTAAAAAGAAGAAGGGAGTCTTGGAACCTTTGGGCAGATGAGAAACATTTAAATGCCAAAAGCAGCTGTAGCTGATGATGTCTTCATCATTGCATGGTGTAAAGTTGCACAACAGGATTTTAGCCACTATAACAAAACAAACTCTTGCACTACAGATTAAGTGGAAATTCAAATTGTTTAAATTATTGATAACATTATATTATACACTTGTGATAGATTGATTGATTGATTGATTGATTGATTGATTGATTGATTGATTGATTGATTGATTTTATTTATTTACCTTGCCTTTCTCTTTAAAAAGGTCCTAAGGCAGCTCTCATCATTAAAATACAGTATTTAAAGCTAAAAAGAGTAAGTATACAAATACTAAAAAGGATCACGCAAATACCACATAAAATGGTAAACAAAAGCAACACCAAAATCACACATTCTGAGCAATAAGACGTAGCAATCCATTTGAAAATCCCACTCAGGCAGCCAATCAACTGAGGGAAAGCTTGCCTGAAGAGAAAGTGTTCACCTGCCTGCTTTTTAAAAAAACAATGTGGTTCACAGATCCCTTAAGCTGAAGTGTTGTTTGGATCTTGATGTTTCTCTTAACAGTTTTTGAACTAAATCAAATTTAGCTCTTTGGTTTAATAATTAAGCCAAAAGATAATCATGTGTGGCACCCAAACCTCTGGAGATTACCCTACCCTTGTTTGATGGTAGTAATATTGCTTATACAGTATAATTTTAAATATGTTAATCTAGGTGTGCTAATTTTAGACTATGTAATTGTGAGTAGTATTGGAAATAGAAATGTGTTTCCTAGCCTATTTTATTCATTCCATGCTGTATAAATAATAGCTGTATAATAATAGCTCCCTGACATAATAGCTTTGATCGTAACAAGAGTGAGTAGAGTACCAAGTGCAAAATTGGACTTTTATATGCTCTCCTTGTTGCAGCCTCAAAGCTGTATGTGCCCGAAGCTCCTTCTGAGCATCATAGGACACTATGGTTTAAGAGGAAGAGAATCAAGGAGATCTTTTCCTGCATGAGGAAAAGCATCTTCAGCTTGCCATAAGGAAAGACTGGATCCAAGGTTAAATGTTTTCTTAAAATCCACGGGCAGGCAATTCTTGACATGATGTTGGACTGCAACATCCCTCATCACTTACTAGGCTTCTTAGACTTGACCAGATTTACTATTCAATATCTTACTTTAGACAAATGAATAATTTTCCTGAATATACTTTAGTCATGTAATGCATGGCATAGTATACTGATGCAATGTCAATTTAGATAACTAGCATAGAGCGCTAAACAACTTTAAATTGTTTCCTAGCTTATTTTCAGTTTTTGTAGCTGTGGAAGTACGTACCTGCATACTAGTCATAGCTAGTTACAGAACATTGTGAAGATAAATCTCAGTGCCATGTATTTAACACACTCAGTTATGAGGTGATTAATGGGAAATCAAGCACTGAACTATTATAAAACTGCAAACCAAATGCTGATTTTTTGTGACTTTGTAATAAATATAGTATATAGTTTTTAAAGTCTGCATAGTAGATCCTGGCAGAACACAGCTTTCTTTACATAGCTATTCTACAATCCGTTTACTGTACTTGACAGTTTCTTTATATGGAGTGAAATGTGCAGCACTCTCTTCACCTGTATAATATTAGATCCAGCTACACAGTGGCTGAAATTCTGTTGCTTAGCAAATTAAGTTGCGACTAAGTAAGTTGTTTTCTTTGTTGCCTTGCTCTGTGTGAGGGGCCAGAGTAGGCCCATTAAATCAGTGGGGATTTGGTGAGACAACTCCTCCATAAGTGCCATTGATTCATTGAGCCTACTCTAGTTGCGACTTATTAGGATAAGCAACAGGATCTCAGCCAGTGAATCACACTCCTTTCGTCACTGCTACTTTGGGAGTGCATGAATGTGTGTACAGTCATAGGGTAACAGCCAACTCATGAAATATAGCAAGAGGGGAAAGGGAGAAGTATACTATTTGATTATGCACAGAGAATCTTCAGATTTTCCTATTTGTTCTAGGAAGGTATATCAGTATTAAGTGAGAATGGTGAAGTAACCTAATAATTTCAGTAGAAAAGAAGTAATGTACAAATATTGAAGTTTGGCATTGGCTTTGATCCAGAAATTCTAGTACTTATATAAAAAATACTTTGCCTTTATGATTGAATTAGAATCATTGAGTTCCTTTCAGATTAGCAACTGCTTATACTCTCTGAAAACTGGCTTTTAAGAGTTGTGAAGATACAACGGCCCATCAGCACTGAAAGCTGTTGCGGCCCATCACCTTTTCAGTGAACTCAATATACTGCAGAGGAAGAGGAATTGGTGACATTTTCCTACATGTTGCTTACAGAGCAGATTCTTCTGAATCAAGTTCGCTAAAATCAGTGGAATTACAGGGTACATAACTGTGTGCAATATTATACCCATAATTTACAACAGCTTCACACTGCTTTAACATTATTCATAAATGAAAAATGCTAAAACAGATTCAGTTCTGATAACTTGGGTCAGCAATTTGCAGCAAGAATATTGAAGTAAAATGTTTTAAGGATACAGAAGATGACATGACTGAATGGTCACCACATCCAGTATCCCCTTGCATTGCAAAATCAATTTCACATAGACAGGGGTTGGGCAACTTGTGACCTTCCAGATATTAGATTGCAGCTTCCACTGTCCTCATCAAGAATAGTCAGCAGTGAGGACCAGTGAGAGGTATTAAATTCCTCACCCTTGACAGAAACATTGATGCAACACACTTTGCTTTTAGAAACAGGACACAGCAAGATTGGTTCTTGAATTATTTCCAGTAGAACCATTCTTCTTTCTATTCTTTTCTTTTAAAAATACTAAAGAGACTAATTGCAATCTTATTTTCTTCTCAGTCAATTATTATCATTTGCTGTTAATCTATACTCTTAAATGGGCACATTTGCTTTGTATGACAATAGATGCTAGTTTTATGTTCCGTATTTTTTCCATACCATCAAGAATGTCTGTGCACTGTCAGACATTTTGTGACTGTGTTTCTAAGCTGCTGTGCTGCAAGGCTGGAAGACCAGCAGTCATAAGATCGAATCCATGCATTGGAGTGAGCTCCCATTGCTTGTCTCAGCTCCTGCCAACCTAGCAGTTTGAAAGCATGTAAATGCAAGTAGATAAATTGGTACCACCACGGTGGGAAGGTAACAGCATTCCATGTCTAGTCACGCTGGCCACGTGGCCACGGAAACTGTCTACAGACAAATGCTTGCTCTATGGCTTGGAAACAGGGATGAGCACCACGCCCTAGAGTCAGTCATGACTGGACAATTTGTCAAGGGGAACCTCTATCTTCTGACCACTTCTGCTGCATACCCATTTTGTAACATCCACAAAAAAAAAAACAAGTGGCACCAGCACTAAAGTGTCTAGTACTTAACATTAAAGCACTTCTCAATGCTATGCATAGAATATATGGATGTGATCAGACTGATGCTTAGTCCACTGTTTGGACCATTGCAGGAATGAGCTGATGTGCTAAAGATGGTGCTCACATGACATCTTTGCTAGAGTGCACCAGCTCAGCCACAGAATATTCCTATCCACATCTTTCTAGCCCCTGTCCAAGGGCTTCTACTTTTTTGGTCCAGGTAGGATTGCATTACTTTGGTTTGTCTCCAGTGTGTATGAATGCTGGGAATGAATGAAAGGAAGCCTTCCTCTTTCAATTTAACAATATTGTGAAGTGGCTAAGCTCTGTGGAAGTGTTTAAATTCCAAAGGC